GTAATTTTCGAAATCAAACTCCTTTGTTGAAGAAAGCAGGCGATGATTAAAAAATATAAACATTGAGAAATTTTGTGTTACAGATTTTAATGAAAATTGATTTAACTGGCAGAGATTAGCCACCCACAGAACAAGATGCGCACACTTCCCTGTTTAAAAAAAGGGAAAGATTTTTCAAGGTTTCGGAAACGAAATGTAGATGGCGCGTCCATCTACGTTTCCACCTGAACTAGTTTTTTAAAATAACCTGAATCTCTAATAAAAATCATGACAGTAAATTTCTCCTATAAAAGTAAAAAGTTACCTATCCAACTATGACATGAAAATCATTTATCTTCCTTTCTACTTCCTGGACAAAAGTTGCTGAAAAATACTTGTGAGCAACAAGCGTTTTGTAGGCTTTCATCTGCCTATGAGTGTAAAAACTGTGGGTCACTATAATAGTAGAAGAGTATAATTATCAGGTAGTCTAATCAGTCAGCAGTTTCAGATGTGAAGGGCTTCAAATCCTTGATCAACATCAGCCTCATCAGATATCTACAAACAAATTATGGTTTTATGATAGTATCAGGCATGAAAATTAATGGTTAGTTGAGAAAAATAGACGAAATAACATTAAATATTCATGTTTACCTCTGACCAACCTCTGGGTTTTCATGCAATAACTTCTTGAAATATGAACTTTGCATATTGAAGCACTGGGAAAACTAATTCAATTCAATTCAACTCCCGAGACTCCTTTCAAACACCTGACACATAAAACTACCAGAATAGGGAAAAGACAATTCAATTACAAGTGATGTATAAATGAATTGTATAATCTTTGTTTGCCAACCAGACGCCATCTTGCCAGCTAAAATGATACGTGGTGTGGATTGCCTAATTTCAGTAGTGCGGATCAATAAAATAAACTCCACCCACTTCAAATAAAACTAATATATTTCCAAGGTTGGTAGAAATGATGATTATTTCTACCAACCTTGTATACTTCCCATCTATTAGATTCAGTTGGAACTATAATTCGTCACGTGACCATCTCTTCTCTACATTCAGTTCATTGATTAGATGTGCACATCTTGTTGTTTTAATTATGCTTTCCGACCACCCATTCCACTTCAATTTGTATAGGGTTATTTTGTTACAAGGGGCGCGGTCATCAGCAGTCAGCTCCGAAATAGCGAAATAGCGTTCAAACGATTTTGACCCATATTCGATATTCAAGCTATGAAGAAACTCTGACCGAGCGGGACTAGGTTCGAAATCGCATTGAGTCCAGACTTTTTTTAATTTATTTGAAGTTATTTATATCTTCATAGTGAAACAAATTGCTAAAATATGTACCTACTGGGGAAAAATACCATTATGGGAATTATTGAATAAGAGTAGAATAATTATTTTGAAAAATAATTGAGATAATTTTTCCAAGTTGATGTAGAGGGAGATAAATAGTAATTTTCCAGTTTGTCGGTTTGTTGAAGATATTATGTAGAAAATTAGATGAACTTGGTTAAACTTTATTCAATATAAATAATTACATAAATCCTTAGTTTTTCAATATGATACGTGTCGCCGTCATCATGGCTAGAAAATTTTAAATCATCAGAAATATGATGGAAATTCCAGAAAAGATGTTTTTATTTTCATTTTTGGGTAATTATTCTCAAGGTCATTGTAGTCAAAATCAAACAGGGGAGCCCCAGCACCAGGACCCCCCCCGCCGCCACTCGACTAGCATGCAACTTTCAGCTTTAAACGTTTCCGTTTACTAGCATCCAACGCATTTGGCCAGTCGAGTGGCTGATAAACATCTGATAAATGTTCACTAAAATATTCTATTTCGGGTACCCTTTTCAACCCATCTCTCTCTATCTCACAACGCGCCTTATGCTCTATAGCAATCAATGCATTGGGCTCTGTGTAAAAATAGCCGAAAATTATAAACTATTCAAATTTAAACTTGGGGCTAAGGTTGCATGGTTTCATAATTCTATTGGTATGATAATATTATGATCTATATAGGTAATTCAATACGTCGATTATTCTGACCGATATAACACGAATAATTAGAAAACGCCATTGGCGATCGATGGTGGTCTTTCCGCAATGTTTTAGCTTATGCATGCGAAACTTCTGAGATCAATTTTTGCGATGGTATTATATAGGTACTAGGTGTTTTTTCAATAGGCATTATCCATTTTATACACAAACAATCATTAAGAATTTTTCCATATTTCCATTTCCATTTTTGTCCATATCTCCGAACAACGAACCCCCTATAACCTGCTAATCTAAACTTGAAAAAATAATCAATTTCTCGCACATGATTACTATAAAAATATTTTTTAAGTAATTGTTTATTCGAAAAAAGTTATAGGTCCTTATGGAAGACATCATATATGTTTATGAAATCATCGTGGAAATTTAAAAAAAATATTTATGTTTCTGCAATTTCTCAACATGTTTGGGCAATAAACCATCTGGTTTGCCCTCACTATATGTATATTGAAATAATACTCATATTTTCAGTTTATATAATGGAAACGAGGTGAGAAAATCTCAAAATCTAGAATAATGAATATTTTAGCTATTGCATGATAAAAAGCTTGAGGCAAAGTGTTTTTATTGATTGTAAGCTTGATAACTATTACATTTTGGAATTTTTTGCTACATATTTTTTAAAAGAAACCTGTCGCTTTGCTGGCTTCTCTAGTATGCTGAGTTCGCTTGAAGCATAGGCTTGAAGCTAGCAGAGCCACAGGTTTCTTTTAAAAAATATGCAGAAAAAAAAATTCAAAATGCGATAGTCCGATAGTTATTGAGCTTATAATCAATACCAACACTTAGTCTTGAAAAATCGTCATAAAATATGCTTTGGATATGGATTTGAAATAGTTGAAATCTCTAACCTGTGATAGCTCAGGACTAAATTATCTCTATTCCTAGTTGAATATGAGTGGATATCCCTATGTGATTTGAAGTCTACTAGGTTCAGTTGGTGGATTAGACAACAAAATATAAAAGTACAAGGAAGTGTAAGGAGTCTCCATACCATACAAGTGAATTCATATAAGGTATCATTTACTTTTGAAACATAAATATTTCCTAAACTTTTCATGGACTGGGATCTGTAGATAAGCATCCTTGAGATCAAAGGTTGCCATATAGTTGTTTCTTTCAATCAGCTTCATGACTGTTCTACTGTCCTCCATTTTAAAATGGGGTGGATTTAGTTCTTTTAGATTAAGGATGAACCTTGCCTTAACATTGGATTTTTTTATCAAAAAACATGGTGAGACAAACTGGGATACTACTTCCTTGCATTCAACAACTGCTCCCAAATCAAGAAGGTGATTTACTTCTAACATCAATTCCCTGCATTCATTTTCAGAATGATTCCCACTGTGTAACAAAGCCTTTGGCTTTTTAACAAAAGGAATCTTGTAACCAGATATCCATTTCAGTATTTCTGGATGTGGTGATAGGATGGACTTCCATTGATTTTTGGAAAACCTCAAACTACCTGCAAAGAGAAAAAAACTTACCTTTCTATCTAATTCTGAGTGGGAGGCTGATAATGTTTTTTGGCTTGGAGATATTGCCCTTTCTGTCTGTGATATCTCCTGTATCCAGACAGGCCCCTCCAGTTTAAAGAATCACCTCTTTTATATGTACCACTACCTGATGAGCTTGTACTTGGTAGTTGATTACTAGGTTTCTTGAATACAGTATCTGTTTTTGGTTTGAGATCTATAACTGCTCTCTCAACAGCTTTTGCTGTTTTCATATGCTCACCCAGGTTTGATCCAAATAACAGCTCCTCAATAGGTGCTGCACTAGTCAGCTCTTCGACAGTTTTACTCAACATAGGTGTAATGAGGGCTCTCCTAGTCAGTGACATATTGTAGTGAACATTGGTCAACAATTTTCCTGACTCACTAAGAAGGCCAAGAACTGTGTTCTTGTTTTCTTCCTTCAAGAGGATGTTGATACCAGCCCCTAGGGCAGCAAGGCCCTTTCCTAACTGGCTCTGGTTCAGCTGTTGTAACTTGTCTTTCTTATGTGTATTTGAAGGTATAGCCTTCAGAATTTCAGGGTTTATATCTGGGACCTTCAACAATGTTAAATTTGTTGGAGGCAAATGTAGCTGCATTAGCCTTTCTTTTTCTCTTTTATCAAGCCCTTCTGTGAGTATGGTTTTCCATCTCTTTTGGACTACTGAGTGTAGTTCATATGTCTTCTTGGTATCCTTGTGAGGGTCTTCCCCCAATGCTTCTAGGATGTCATCATCTAGCTTGACATCGTTATTGATGATGACAACATTTTGTTGTATTCCACATTCCACATGCCATAGGTGATGGTGGTGTGCCACCTTGGGAAAATTCATTTGAACTTTCTGGACTTTCCAGACTATAGGAGGAGGCTTGGCTATAACTAGCAGCTGATTGATTACTGCGAACAGAGCGAGCGGTATTCTGCTCCAACTGGTCCAACTCCTGTTGGCTATCCATTCATCATTCATTCCATTCTAGGAGGGGATCGCGATCGCGAATGCTTTCGCTTTCAGTCCCTCCGATCAGTTCGATCGCTTTTGCTATGCTTCCCCATTTATCTAAAAGAGGAAAATATCAATATTAAATTAAAAAGATCAAATATTTCAAAAAAATCAAACAAGGAAAAATTAATGTGGTGATGGCGCAAGGTCTATTAACTTTTACAAAATCCAGTCGGTAAGGAAGAGTGCTGTATGATACAGACTCTTCTTCTTACTTAATACATTGTGGCATCAACCGTACCTAAGAGTGGTACTACCTAGCTAAATCAAGTGATCTCTTCGGACAAGGTGCCTCTCATATAATTTCGATCGAACTTCACGGTAAGTTCGTTTGATCGTGAAATAACAACAACAAACGGAGGGAAGCATACAGTCCGGATAGCCTTATTATGATTACGGTCAAAAAAATAAAAAAAATAAGAAGATAGAATTGTATAAACATAACCTTATTGTAACTGAAAGTTTATTTATTTGTTTATTTGTTTGCGAGTTTATTGATATTAGACGTGTATTTCAAAGACATTCAATTTCTAGGTACCTACAACATCTACTAAGGATGTCACATAGAACAGGCGAGAATAGAACTATTTTAAAAGCCAGGCGCTTCAACAAATTCCAGTCAACCTCTGCAGCAATTGCAAATTATGTACCTGATAATTTAATTAATACCACTACTACCACTAGTGAGATATTAGGAAAGCATGGACTCAAAAGGAATCGGGATGAAGTCAATGTATCAATCCCAAAAAAAATGTGCAATGGTCTCCAGGTATCATTAGGTACAGCAAGAAATTTGGCAAACAACAGACTACAAAGGTTGAAAGGCAGTTTAAAAGCAGATCTAGAACAAAAGATTAACTCAGGAACAGAAACTGGTGAAACTGTGATGACATCATCAAATGGTTCCACAGTAGGACATTTGGAAACCTTCTCAAATTATAATGAACCATCCAAATCTCAAACTCCAGTATATGCAGAGGGATACTCAATTCCTGAAACCAGTTCCAACATAAGACTTCAAAACTTGGATAAGTGGACTACTCCTCCACCTGCCAAGACTAGAAATACACTTGTAGAAAATAGTTTCATTTCTGTAAGAGAAACAAATGAATATGCAGTGAATTCTTCAAATAGTCATACAAAAGCTTTTCAAAATTTCAATGAACCCTACAATTCTGAAAGATCTTTAATTAAAGATAGTCACTCTACAAGTCTAACCAGTCCAAAGAATATATATAAAAATTTAGATAAATGGGCTAATTCATCAAATAATTACCAAGAAAAAAATTTTGCAAATCAAAGATTGAACAGACTAAAGAGGGTTGTTAATGATCTGAAATCTAATGTAGAATTGGTATCTAACAATAATAATTGTGGAATTCAAGAATCACCACTCAAATCACAAGTAAACAATGATGGAACAATGATTCATCTGAATAAGGAGCACCATGGTTCATTACACAATAGAGTTTCTGGTTTGAAAAGGAATGCAGATTACAGTGAAAGTGAAGTGGCATGTTCCCCTATAAAGAAGTCTTCCCCTCTTGATACTCTTTCCTGTTTAGCTACTAATAACAAGTGGACAGAAGATTCATCTAGATTGAAAGCTTGTTCTTCAGAAGCATATAACTTACTCTCTCCAAATATTAATAATAAAAAGGGAAATAATAATTTCTCCTCACCTGAGAGATCTGGATTAAACACTCTGAAAGCCACCAATGTTTCTAATAGAATTATGAAAATCAAGAAGAATATGGAAACTATTAACACCACTTTGTATCATGATCAATCACCTGTTATGAATTATGACCAGAAGGTATGTTATAATACTCCAAGGAATTGTGGAAAATTAAAATCTTCTGAAAATTTAAAACATGATAAAAATGGAAGATCTGGTCATGATTGTTTTAAGAAATCTATCAATGATTCTCAAGGTAGCCATCATGATAATATAAAGGAGAAGGCAAGAAACTTCCAATTCAACACCACTACCAACAAAATATATGAATGTAGTGGCAGTAAAAGTAATACTAATAGTGATAATTTTGCAAAATCTACTAATGAATCTCAAATAATCAATTCAAATAGAAATACACAGTGCAATATTTCACAGCAAACAGGCATTCTGGATGACTTGACCTTGGATCACTTTTTGGAATCCTCCAAACATCAAGATTCTGCCTCTCCTTGCAAGACTTCCTCAGAAGCAAATAATTTTGATAATTACAAAGGAAAGTGGAAAATGACTGCAACATGGGTATGGAATCATCAGAATATGAATGGTACTCCAGATCAACCAGAAAGTGTAGTTGTTTCTGAGATAGTTGCAGAGCCGATTTCTAAAAGGGAAGATCACATTGATGACACAGAGGAAATGGAATGGACAAATGTGAGTATTTATGATACACCAATCCCTCCACTGTTGTATAAACTGAAAATATTAGTAATTTTCACTCTTTTGTATATTTTTTTTAATAAATTTAGTTGTTTATTCCTTCACAGGCTGAGCCAGATAGTGACCAAATAGAGACACAGACAGAGATAGAAATAAGGAATTCTGCAGATGAAGAAGCAAAAAACCTACCAAAACAAAAATCAAAGGAATTATGTATCATTGTAGATACAAATGTATTTATTTCTGGGCTATCCAGAATTAAAGATATTATGAATTTGAAAATTACAGGTACCTACATATGTACATAATAATCAAAATGGTTATCTAAATACTCACTCTTGTAATTTTAGGATGTATGATAATTGCAGAGTTCAGAAAACATTGAACAGTTTTCTTTTTTAACAGACCTTACATTGGTCATGAACAATTCTGACTATAAATCTAATAATAATTAAGCTAAAGCTATTTCTTTTAAATCAATAAAACATTTTTCAATAGCATAAAAATAATTTACATCAATAATGTTTGTGATAATATTCCTAACCTAATATCATTGAAATTATGATTGAAAATTGTTCAACAGATCTTTGTAAGGCTTTGTAATCTAATGTGTTTTTTTCAGAACCAACCTCACTTATTATATATGTTCCTTGGATGGTGATCACTGAATTAGATTATATGAAGCATTCTTGTTCGGATGATAAACTCAAACAAAAAGTAACCAGTGCCATTAAATTTATTAACACAGCATTAGAAAATAAAAATCCTAGGTTTTTAGGTAAGGAAGTGTCAGAAGGAACGTTGTTTTGTCATTTTCTTGATATTTTTTTTAGGTCAAACAATACATGATATGGAGCAACAAAAGTCAATAGGTATTAGCCCAGATGACAAAATTGTGTCTTGCTGTCTGCAAGCAAATCAAAAATATGAAACTGTGGTAAGTATTTCTGCACCTCATAACATCAAAACCCTAAGGGTTAGATTCACGAATGAAATATGTGGACATATGTCAATCCAGCTATTGGTCCACAAAAATAGGAACACTGTTGGTTATTTCAACATTTTGACAGTCACAGAAAAATCTAATAATTAATTTCTTCAAATTGATTCATGATTAGTCCAGTTGGTGAAAAAAATGAAAAAAAGGAATAAAGAAAAAATTTGAATTTGCTGCCTCTATACAAGCAGTTAAAAATAGACAATTCACTTTTGTTGTCAAAGAAAATGTATTCAGTACAGAACACTGATTGAGCGAATCCAAGTAGTTTTTACTGAATTTTCTGAAAAACATGGATTTGATAATGAAAAAGTGAACAAAAAGACAAGAAAAAACAAGATGGCGGATCCAATATGGCGGACGAGTTCTGTAATTATGATCCAATTATAATCAAAATTGGTATCTGAGGGTTTTTGGGGTCGAAGATTATGGTTCGTTCGTCAAAATTTGGAAATTCAAAATGGCGGATTCAATATGGCGGACGAGTTTGGTAACTATATGATTTGATTCTATTAAAAATCTGAATCTGGGGGTTTTCGGGTCGGAGATTATGATTTTATTCTTTAAAATTGGGAAATTCAAGATGGCGGATCCAATATGGTGAAACAGCATTGTAATAGATAGTAGTTTGAAAAACTAATGAAACACGTTTTTATAGATAGCCAAACTAAAAAGAAGTAGAGAATAAGTAGAATAGTTTGAAAAACTAAAGAATCCCGTTTTCATGGATAGTCGAACTGAAAAGTATAAATAAAATAATGAAAGTTCTTTGATAAATTTTTATGTAAAAACATTTTTTCTAGAAATAATGTTATGGATGAAACAACGTTTGCCGGGTCAGCTAGTTTTCATATAGAAAATTCATTAGGAAATATGGTTTTTATGGGGAGTTTTTCATTCAAGTTGACAATTATACCAGATGACCAATAATCAATATCAATGATGATCAATAATCAATCCAAATAAGAGATGTCAAATGTCAACAGATTGCTTTTGAAAGAAGTTACACACGCCATTATTTCAAATGATATTCTTCCTTCTTTTCACTAAATATGGATAAATCGCAAATGAATTATATTTCTAGTTGACTTTCATATATAAAAAAATGTGTCATTGAAGTACATCGTGATATATAATTTGTCCAATGATGAAAAAAGAAATGTAAATGTGATCCAAAGGACAGGCGGAAAAGACGACGATGAAATTTGTAACTTTATAGTGGAATATCTTGATAAATAATGGTTTGTTCACATTTTCATTATCAAATTCGTGTTTTTCAGACAAAAATACGTAAGTACCAAAAAATATTTTCGGAAAAAAACCCATCGCATGATAAGTGCAAAATTAGCAAATTTATAAATAGATAAAACCGAGAATGAAATATTTTCAGATATTACTCTCAAATGATTTGAACCTTCGAAGTAAAGCGATGATCAACAACATATCTGCCACTTCCGCCAATGAAATAATAATGAAAATCCTATCGAAAACGACAAAAACCGCCAAGTCACAAAAAATCATGCAGAAAATGAGCATGTTATGCTCGTCTGTTATTTGCGATTGCGCCAAAGACACCTACGGAGACGTCTGGTCAAAAATGGATCTCCTTTCAAGTCCCCCATGGTCATTGAAAGAGTGCCTGAAGAGGTTTCGGAAGTACTGGCCTACTGTATTTCAAGACAAGGTGATGAAGCAGTTTACCATGGTCGTTGACCAATTGTTGGCAATCTTTCATAAGAACAGATGTAAGTGATCATATAAAACGAGTTTTACACAATATAAAATTGGACATAGTTGAAGATTTCAAGAGGACAAAAAATTAATGATCCAAATATCCATCAGTCAAAATAAGTTACACCTCTTACATATGTCCCTACTACAACTACGCTCAATTGCATTCATAATACATATATTCATAATAACATCCTGTTTCTATATTTTAGATTTTGCTGATGACTCCGAGGATTATGTGAAATTCATGAAACTTTGTATAAATTTATGCATTTTTTTGAAAGACATCCAACAATGTAGGGGCTCGGTGGAGAATACACTGAGAGACATAACAAAAATATGATGAATAATTTATTGTTACTTATTTTCAAAAAACAGTTATTTTTTCGTTTTAGAACTGATGTCACGTTTGAAAGAAAAAAGAAAAATTGAATAAAGAGTATTCTTCTATCAATTCTTTTGAAATGCCTCTTATATTTAATGAAATGAAATCTTTTTCATTTCTCCTTTGCAAATTGCAATGACACGATGAAAACGAATCAACAATAAGGAAGTAAGCAAGAAAATATGATGCGCCAATAAGAAGACTTCAACAATAAAGATTCAAGTCAGATCGTCGTCTGCTGAATCATCATTTTCTTCCCCGTCAGCATCATTGGGTACTTCGGGTCGAATGTTGTTGAGGAGGTCTCTCATAGCGTCCACTAGAGAAGCGACGCTACTTCGAAGATCGCCACCGCCATCGTTCATTTCCGGTAGTGCTCGCGCTCCATCTTCTTCGCCACCTCGATTACTGAAAATGAACGGTCAGTAGTCAGTAACCAATTAGTTGTTGAAGAAACATTTTTTTCACTACTTTGTACAGGATGTAACACAGGTGCGTTGAAATATTCAAGTGACTTATTCCTGAGACAATATCAAGGAATAAAGTCTAAATGAACTTGTGTCCAGAATTTCCAGAAACGCTTCATTTCGGAGATACACAGTGTGCTGAATGGAGAAGACCACTGAGGGAAGAAATCCGTGCAAACCTCTTTCAATCGATTTTCGTTTTATGTACATACAATCAATATTATGAGTTGAAGTTAACCCTTAACTACTAACGTTCCAAATATATAACGTTGTCACTAACCATACGTCTCACAGACGGCAGGACTATTCAAATGTCCATATAAATCCAATTTTTTTCAAAGCTTTTATTTAACTTGCATTTTATGTTTGTTTGTATGTATGTATGTATGTTTGTAAATTTGTGAGGATATAACTTACGAACCACCCAGTATATTCATTTGGAATTTGGTACACAATATCGCCTTCTTCTACCAAAGCGACTCACCTATCAGTCACGAGAAAAATCCAGGACCGGATCAACGAAAATTGATCATATATGTGTGGACCCCAAAAATATCACCCTGTATTTTCGAATTTCCAAATTCCGCTCACATATCGCACTTCCCAAGTGCATGAAAATCTGAATCGTATAATGTTCTTTCCATTTTTCCGCATGCTATTTCACTAGGTAATTTCTGATTTTGAATATGAGGTTTCATGCATTTGGATAGGTAAAAAATCGAATAACAAAAACTATCACGAATCACCCAGTATATTCTTTTGGAATTTGGTGCACAAGTCCTCCTTCTTCTACCCCAGCGACTCACCTATCAGTCACGATGAAAATCCAGGTCCGGATTAACGGAAAACTATGATCTTCTGGGTCCGAAAAAGAACACCCAGTGTTTTCGAATTTCCAAAATCCGATTCCAGATTTGGAAAGTTCACAAAGAAATGAATAGAATTGTGTACTTTTCAATATCCCGCATGCTCTTTCACTTACCTGGATTTTTCTCGTGAATGATAGGTGAAGGGCTTGGGTAGATCAAGGAGAACTCGTGTATCAAATTAAAAAAAATATATATACTGGGTGATTCGTGATAATATTATACGATTGGGAAAACTGCAAACATATTATTTTTACCTATCCAAATGCATAAAACCTCGAACATTCCTTTGTGAAATTGCATGTGGGAAAATGAAAAGTACATCATTTGGTTCAGCATTTTGTACACTTTCCAAATATGTAAGCGGATTTTGAGAATTCGAAAATACAGGGTGTCCAGAAATATTATCAACTTTTGTTAATCCGTACCTGGATTTTTTTCGTGACTGATAGGTGAGTCGCTTCGGTAGATGGAGAAGGAATTGTGTATCAAATTGCAAAAGAATATACTGAGTGGTTCGTAAGTTATGTCCTCACAAAGAATTGGGCAAAATTGATGAAACATCCTATATCTCGGATATAAAACTTGCGAGACCCTACAAATATGATAAATTCAGAACCATCTTGATGAGCTCTACCCACCGGTGAAGTTTTTCCGTTTTCCAATGGGACACCCTGTATTATTCATACAACATTCAACTGAGCGTTCAGAAACTGATGACAAAAACTATTGTCAGTAAAAAAAATCTCGAAACTGAAGCCTTGGGAACATTTCTAATGAATTCGCCTCTTTAAAAGACCAGAAAGATTTCAAGTGGAAAAGTACTTACGGCTCTAATAAATTTGGGTTAAAAGTAGGCAGCAACGACCTGAAGAACATTCCTAGCGGGTTAGCGTTGCTATTATTTGATAGTAATGGTCTTTTCGCCCTAGTGTATATGTTTATAGAGTCCTTTGGTGGTAGTGGATCAAAACTCATGACTGGTCCATTGCTTTCCTGACAAATACATGAACAATCAACGAATATATTTCTGATTGTGAAAATACTTACATCTGTCACAGGAGATACACCTTTGATGTCAGACAGCAAAATATGTCTGGAAATATTTTGCGGTAAGGATCCCAAATACCTTTTTATTCTTTTTGCTTCAATTTCTTTAACTATAGGGTCATTTTTTTCCACCCTATCCAAAATTTCGTGTACATTTTTCTCTAGCCAGGGCAATAGGTCACTGTCCTTCCATATGTGATAACTTCTGTTGATGTAGAGAAGGATCAGCTGATTGAGAGCTGGGGGTTGCCTGAATGAACATGATGGCTTATTTATTATCGTTGAAAAATAAAAACGAAATAAAAAAAAAAACATTTTTAATGTACCATGTTTGCATAATGGATTTAAAGAGTATGAAATAATTTGTTGAATTCGTATGAAGGATAAAACAATATACAGATTTCTGACTTTTCCTAAATTATCCTGAAAATTCGTTGCCAAGTTTTGACTACTTATAAGATTGGAAACGAAAAACATGGATAGCTAACATTTAAGTTTATTGCACCGCCAATAATGTGAACCGAATGAACCGATAATAATAAGTTATTTCATAGCTATCAAAAGTTGCCAAGAACGAATTTTCAGGATAAATTAGAAAAAGTTAGAAATCTGTATATGGTTTTCATTCTTCATAAGAATTAAATTATGTTATACTTATTAGTCCGTTATAAATACATGGAAAATAAATAAAAAATGTCATCTTGCTATTATACAGTTCTGCTTTTTATGGTTATGCGAATGGCATTTTGGAATTGATTTTAAATACTTTGATGACGTCATGCGGTGAATTTCAGATTTATTTCAAGTATCTATCTCATGGGGACTGATGATATCCCCCAGAAAAAATCCTGGGCCACTACTATACTTATTTTACATTTTCACGCATTGTCATCTACTTCGAAGCTATGGTACAAATTTCAAGTATCTAGCTCATTGACTGAAGACCCCCCCTTCCCCCCCTCCCCCAGAAAAAGATCCTGGTCTCACCACTGCTTCGTTTTTCACTTTTTCACGTATTGTCGTCATCCACTTGTGAGCTATTGTCCAAAAGTATCTAGCTCTTCGGGACTTATGACGACCCTCCGGGGAAAAAACCTGGGCACGCCACTGCTTCTTTTTTCACATTTTCATGCATTGTCATCCACTTCGGAGCTATGGCCCAAATTGACCTCATCGGAAAGTTAGTTTAAAATCAATTACAAAATTCCACCCGGACATACAAAAGCAAGTTAATAACGAACCACCAAAAAGTAGCCAGAAGTTTAGGAAACATTTTCGTCAAAACTACTTGTCCGAATTGTACGTATTTTGTTTTTTCATGACAGGATATTTATACATATATATAAGAACCTCATTTTCATGAATACCGGGTGAAGCAATTATAGCGTATTTTTTTTTCATGAAATTTCTAATACCCTGTGGAGTGTAACAACCTTATCCAGTTGAAATTGAAAGTACACTTTAGCCTTATCTTTTCTCAACATTATTTTTTCGGATTCACTCCATTATCTTTCCTATTTCTCCAGAAACACAATTTCTTTAAAAGCGGAAATGTATTACTGCATGTTTTTTTTGCTATTCATTGACATTGACGTTTTAGTCTTCTGCGAAACCAAAATGCATGATTCAATACTACATGAATTGGTCCATCTACAGACAGGGCGCAACAAAAAGCTTATTTTTGTTGTAGTGTGATATACGTTGTAGTTAATCATTACAAATTACAATGAAGCATTTCTTCATTTTTTGATCTTTCATCGTATGTATCAATTTTTAAATACTGAATCCCATTAGTTCAGTTCTACTGAAATGTAATGATCTTTGATATTCATTTAAGGGCTCCAACGCAAGCCAAGCACCAAGTAGAAGCTAGTTTTCCATAAAATCAAATGTTATGCTATAAAATTGTGTTTCGCGATTCTTATGAAAGATAATAGATTGAATCCAAAAAAGAAATGTTAAAAAAATGCTAAAGTGTGATTTAAAATTCAACTCGATAGTGTAACTCTTACACTCTACAGGGTATTACAAATTTCATGAAAAAAACACGCTGTAATTGCTACACCCGGTATACATGAAAAAGAGGTTCTTATGCGAATACAGTTTGCACACAGTTTGTTCAGAAAGAAATAACCTGTAATTCAAATTGAAAAACGGCCAAATCAGACAAGTACTTTAGATGAAAATGTTGCTGGCTACTTTTTGGTAAAGTGCGTTAATTTCTTGGAGAAGTGTATTCTCAAAAAACGCTAATTATTCGTCTAATCACTAACTTCTTAATGTCATCGGCCCCGAGGAAATACCAATGGCCCGCCACCCTCGCGTCGATTTGCACGGCGCACTTGTCCAACAGCTTCAGCAGCACGCCGGGAAACGTCAAGAGGGCGTCCTGCAGCAGCGCGTCGGCCGTGCCGCTGTCCCCCACATAAAAGTAGGCGACGGCCAAGGAGTACGCGATGTTGGGCAGCTGCATCAGGTTGCGCGCGTTCTCCCATTCGCCGACGAAATCGATCAGCCAATGGTGTTCGCGCGCTCGGATCGCGTAAAAGTCGGCAGCTAGCACGACGGCCAGCGGGTCGCCTTCGGGCAGACATTCACAGCTTCACTTGATATTCAAGCTACTCGACTCGACTTGACTTGACATCAAGTCGAGCAGTAGTTTTTAACCGTCAAGTCAAGTATTAATTTGTCAAGTACTCGAAAATTCAAGTACTCCTACTTGATCTTCAGCAGTTTTAATGTGTATCAACAAAATGATGGAATGAACCTTGCAAAAAACACTTTTTTCCACCACTAACCTGAGAAATCGCCATTATTCGACGATTTCCTCTAATGAGAAGTGACACTTTTTGAACCTAGGTAAAAAATGATGAATTGACAAAGAAATTAGCATAAAACTGTCAAGAGTGTCAATCATATTATGCGATATATACACAGGTACCGATGCGAATGCAACCAACTAAAATGATACATTCTTAAAATCAAATACCGAGTGTTACTCAAAAGTGGCTCACCCCTATAACTTTCTTGTTTAAACAGATAAACAAATGGAATTCGGTCGGTAAGCATAGTACTTAAATATGCATTATTTGACGTATCACTTCCGGTTTGACCGGAAATGACACGTATGACACGTATTTTTTATTTCCATAGAGAATAACATTGTGAGTACAATGACACCCCATTCGCTACTTTTTGACATCACACCCACCAAAATCATCTAATCCACAAGTTGTTCCATCATAAAAATACTACAATCAAAAATACAAATACTTTCGAGCCAAAGCCGTCAATAAAATGTCACTAAAAAACTCGGATAAAAATTGTGTTCCAGTTACAACATCCTGGTTGAGTTCGAGTAACAAATTTTCAATTGGAAAGCGGCTAAGTATTCAATTTGTCACGAGCGTGATTGTCAAGTCAAATAGTTTGATAAAACATCAAGCTACTTGACTTGATGAATCTCTACCTTCGGGGTCCAGAGAGAGGAGCAGCTTGCAGAACTCGAGGGAGGTGCGGTAGCAGGCCTTGCCGCCGACGAACATCAGGTGCTTGAACATGGTTATGTAGAGGGCTCTGAGACAGATCGAGAAACACACACACACATGCGCATAATACGTCAGACGGGAAGTAGCGCGCATTCGTCAGATTCAGAGGTGGAAAACTATAGATAGTTTATACTATCGATCTTGAATTCCGTTCAGAAATAGTTGTTTGTTTTACTAGGCAGCAAAGTAGTAGATTGACTGCCACGACTGATATAGTAGGATAGCCGGCTGCAAATTTGGACCGACATCTGATAACGGTAGTTATTGTATGTTCCAAAGGCTTGAGATAACATTGTATTTTATCGAATGGCACCTGTGCCAATCACTAACACGAGCAAAATGTGAAAATCAGCACCTTCCGGTGCGGTAATTTACACTTAATGGGCGAGTGGACTGATAATGATTTATTGGTATTCAATCACTCCATTGTGTCGTTAGGAATTTAAATTAATTTTTGCAACACTTTCCACGCCTTTTGTGTAAATAATGAGTCTATGCATTGTTCGAAATTGGTTAAAGTGCTTATTTCAAACGAACCTTCATGGCGATACGTCGTTATTGGTCAGATAATCTTCCATTTCCACTCACGAAGCAAGGTTGACAAGTCACCAATTATAAGAGAGTTATCAAAGGGATGTTACGAGTCCAGTCGTTAAATAAAACATAATAGAATGAACCCATGATATTATGGTTCATTCTTGACTTTTTCGAGGAACCAGCATGCCCAGCAAATATTTCTTATTCTCCATAACGAAATATCATGTGATTGTTGGAGTCTTAGCAACATTGTGCTGAATGCTGAGAACTGACAAGACGATGCCCACAAGTCGTGCGCCGTGGTTGTCACGATCACCGATTCAAATGTCCTCTAGTGTGAATTGAAATAATTATTATGCAAATTTTGCGAATCAAGGAGAGGCACTTTTTATCCGAATGAAACATGCTATTTTTTCTGCAATCGAAATAATTGATATTTAATTAATAAAACATTAGTGAAAATTCCACTATTTTGAGTCACTTGAGCATGTCAGTGTCAAAGCAGCAATCATATCAGCTGTCATCCGACACTTTTTTAGTTCCTAGGAAATGAACTTCAAGTTAAGCTGCTAGACACTTCAAGTGTTACCTAGCAACATACATACTAATCATTTTATGGTGTCAATAAGAACTAATTTTGGAACAAAAATGGACTTTTGAGCCGATTGCGGAAAAAAGCCACTTTCTATGCTGTTTGGAGAAAAGTCATTTGTTTTTTTAGGCAACAGAGTAGTAGATGGCTGCTGCGGCTGACAGTTTATAGACGAGTGTAGGGAGGCTAGGAATTCAGACAAGGCAGTCAATCGACATTTTCTCCAAATGTAATAAAACCAATTTTGTATATTTTTTTCATTGAAAACTCCATCATTTTGTGTTCACCCAATGTGAGTGTCAATTTTGATAACCAATTTCATTCAAATTACTTTTGGAATGAATAGCAACCAACTTTTCCTGCCCATGTGAAAGTACACCTTTCCTGCCTGTTAGGTGTAAAGAGAAAAGCCACTTTCCATGCCACTTGGATAAAAATATATTTTCATTTATTTATTTCTGCAATCATTACTGGCCTTCATTATTCACAATAACAATATGATGCACCTCCATGTAAAATGTTGAGGACAAATTAGACCTTGGTTCTTGGCTGGTTCATAGGCGTCGGTAGCAAACCTCAGTAAAATATGGCCGATTTGTCAATATTCTCCGAATCTGCTCCAGTCTATCTGCAAGCTCATAAACTATCTATGAATTTCCTTCTTTCTGAAGCAGGAAAATCACTAACTTTGATATTCCGAAGGCTTTTGGAATATTAAATTTCCAACTGAATTTTAAATCATTTTCTCCACCTTTATGAAACCCCGCCGACAAACATATAACTATCAATTTGAAGGCATTTGATCTCAAACAACAATAAAATTTCGCCTGCGTCGCTTTTTTACTTTATGTCACCCCCGCCACATCACGAAATAGCCCGCCCCCCCCCCTCATGGAACAAAGCTGTGCACCTGGCTCTCATAAGGATGGTTCATCTTGTTAGTGTAAATAATCAAGGCTATTAGTGAAGGTGAATACTTTATGAGTATCAAAAAAAACAATCAATGACGTCTACATGAATGATTGAGGTACAAAACATCAGGAATATAAAAAATATTGGAAATATAGATTTCCATCAAATTCAATTCAAACCTATTCAATTTTTTAATTACTGTTGAACAGTGACTAGTGAACTCTAGGAATCAAAATGACTTGATTTCTGTACAAAATTTTTAACTGATAGTTTGTTGATAGTTTTCCACCTCTATAGTCAGTTTGAGACTTGTACAGGGTGGCCCAAATTGATCACTTTGAACAGAAAATCCTGATAAAGGAAAACTGAAGGTAGTGCCTGGTGATCAAATTCAATAGTGAAAACCTCCTATTGTTCTTTGCAAAACTTTTTCCTGTCAAAACATCATACATATCATCAGTATTCAATAATCTAGTTTAAAAATAGAACTTTCCCAATTGAAGCCACCCAATACCGTTCAGCTTTCATGGTTCTGTGTTTCTACTACCTGTTTTCCTGCCTCCTATAATCCAGCCTACAATTTCCTTGTGCAACATTGAACAAAGGATGATATACATATTCCAGGCAGTACAGAGCTCTCTCAATTAATTCAGCAGCCATTGCCAAATCCTCACTAAGCTTGCACATATCTGAGAGCTGTATCAATGAATCAATGTGGTACTGATTATCATTGATTATTGAGACAATGTTATCAGGATTCAGGCTTTCTACTGCATCCAGAAACCTATTCTGTACCTGAAATGGTATGATCAAGGGATAAGCATAAGCATTTTATTCAAAGGTAAATTATTAAGCAGCATTTGTAGTGTGAAAAAAGTTATATGTTTTCATTAAAAATAGGTCTGATTCAAGAATATTTAGGAAATGTATTACAATTCTTTCATTTTTTTATAAAACAAGTTAGAAACAAATAATTGAGCACCTTGTATATCAGTATTCATCATTCTTGTTATTATTGTCTTGAAAATTGAGCTAAAATGAATAAACCTAACCTGCCTGTAACTCTGGCTGTGCTCATATGAAAAATACAAGAGGCCATTTTTGTTTTCAATGTAGTTCATGGAGAGTCCAGATTTGCTAGGATTTGGGTAGTTTTCTTTGCAATTTACCATTGTTGTTGTTTTGACATGGCCTCTACCACCACCTCTGTTTTTGCGTTTACTAGAAGAAAAACAATAAAAACAATCTGTTGATGTTCCAAAAATTTCTCTCTGTCTATAAAAGTTTGAATTTTATCATGCTAAGAAATGGAAAAACCATCATAGCTTCCATAATAATTATTGAGGTAGTATGCTGTAATTACTAGGAGAAATGTATACAAAACCCAATAATAACAGAAGGTAGCATCCATATGAAGTTTTAAATACAAACAAATCATAATCAAAATTGCACAAATAGGTTTTCCATCTTCCTGTAGTAATGAGCCTTGATAAGTAAACATATTCCATGATTGAATATTGTTACTTACTGTTCACTTTGTATTATTTTTGATCCAAATATCCTCTTCAATTCATTGTTAGGATTCAGATGTTTGTGCTGCACTGATAAAGAATTCTTTCTAATGGTTGACTTGTCCTGTTTAACACTTGTAGTTGCTGTAGCTTCTGGTGTGTAAGTTTCACCAAGAAGTCTGTTAACCTCACGAACTGATCTTTCAACTTCATCTATCTGCATAGGAATAATGAAATACTTGTTGATTAAAAAATGTAGATAAAACAAAAATCAATGACATGCAAAATAATATGATCAGAAATTCCTACTCCCAAAAAATATCAGAACATACACTCATAGTTATATTATACAAATAAATATAAATAAAATGGATAAAATTAATTCTGTGCAAATGTTTGTTTTCAGTGAGATCAAAGTTTGATAAAAATTCATCAACTATTTTAATGTTGGAAAGGAAGATTTCAAGGCACTTGATGTTGAAATCTTCATGTTTTATTATCATCATGAATAAAATTCAGAAGATAGTAAATAAACCATGATTTATTTACCTCAGCATTGTCTTCACTGCTCCTTTGGGTATTGGTATGCTTTCCTGACTTTTTTTTCTTTTTTTTCTTTTTCCTCTTGATTTCATGAGTCTCTCCTCCACAAGACTTTGCTGCTTCAGTTTCATTATCATCTTCTTTCACCTCACTTTCTGAGTGTGACTGTTGGTTCAACTATGAGCAAATGGAAATAGCATAGGTAAATAATTATATGATGCATGGCACTGAGTTTGTAGGTGTTCACATCTTACCAGATCATAGCGGTTGATATTCAGCTGCTTTCTTCTGGCACCTCCACTCATTGGGGTGTCCGTTTCGATGTCAGACACTTCATCAGGGAACTCTTTCTCCTTGTCACCCTGTAATTTTCTTAAAACTCGAGACGACATTGCTATATGGCGTTATTGGGCTGATGTTCAATGTATTATCAAAAGGGTTTTATACTTATCAGCTGTAGTTGTGAAATTACCGAAAAGCTAATGAACGTGACATGTTTTGAGTTTGATGAGTAAGCTGGAGTTTTGACTTTTGTTTTGTCTCTTTGACACTTGTTTTTCAGTTTTGACGTTTATCTGCACCAGCTCTGCACCGCCTCTTCCATTGCTCTGCATGTGACGTTGTGACGGGACAAGGACGGGACGGACGGGACAACGGAATCGAACATATCCGAATTTGTCCGAATGATACCGAACTTTCCGATAGATCGATATCGATATGCCCAACCTAACCCTAACCTAAAATTGTGATAAATTATTTTGTTAATGACTCAAATGATCCTTCGATCATTATTCATTGTGGCTTTAGCTGCTTTATAGACAAGATAATTATAGTGAGTGATCTTCAATCCTGTCCATATCATACATCGATAATTTTTGATATCATCTCATATTTTAGTGCAATGAAAATGAGACGACGGAGGAAGAGAGCAATGATGAAAATGGAAGATGTGTCTCCACTTCAAAATAGTAAAAAGTTTGGACTGAGAAAAATATTAGATAAGGTAGATAAGGAGGAATCAGATATATTAGTTGATGAAGAAATGGAGGTTGAAGCATCCACAAGTGAATCTTTCTTGGATGATAAAGAGACAACTGAAGACAACCAAGTGAAAATCTGTAGACTGTGCCTAGTCTTCATTGATGAAAATTATGTACCCTTAGATGAAATTATTGCCATGCTCCAGATTGTTTTACCAGAAGTGGTAAGAATTAAATTTGCTTAATAATAATTATATCATTTACCAACAATTTTTTTAGGATCCAAAAATAACCAAAGATCCTGTGATATGTCAATTGTGTTTTAATTTTCTTGATAAAGCATCTAGCTTCATGGTGAACAGTTTGAATGTAGAACAAAAAATCAAAAACTATTATGAAGCAAATAAGTCAGATTCCATGCAACAAATCCATTTATTCAATGTCTTGGAATTTGCCTTCCCAAAATTTGAGATGGATAATGATATGAATGAACATTCCAATAATGAAAATGAAAATTTTGTTCCAACTGATATGCTGGAGTTGAAACAGTCTCAACATGAACAAGATGAAGAGGATACTAAACTGAAAGAAGATAATAAAAAGCCTTTAACGTAAGTATAGGAATTCAATTACTTTGAAAACCATATGACTGATGCAAAACAAAGTTCATTACATGGTTTATTAGGTGATTTACAGTAAGGGAGATACTGAGTTCATTTTAAGGAAACATTCAAGAACATAAACTACAGATCTGATAATAATTGTAAACAGATTTGGCAACTATTTATTTTTATTAATTACAAAGGACCAGCACTAAACTATAGGGAAAATGGTTCTCAATCCCTGAATTTTTAGTATGTTGCAGACTTTTATATACTGAACAGATATTCCAATGAACTAATGTCAAAAAATGGACAGTTTTTCTGATATTGACCTCCAAATGTGATTTTTTCCAGATAACAAAAGTATCTGAAAATGGTTGAATTTTTGGCATGTTGTAGATAGGAATGTGATAGGAATAAACTGATGAAGAAATCCAATTGACTTAACCTCCAAAAATTGACAGTTTTCTGGATATTGACCTCCAAATGCAAATTTTTCAAGAGAAAAATCTCTGAAAATGGCTGAATTTCTAGTATGTTCTGGATAGGAATGTACTGATGAAAAAATCCAATTGACAACCTCAAAAAATTGACAGTTCTTTAATATGGACCTCCAAATGTATGTATGGAAAATAAGATGAATGGAAAATGGAACAATAATCAATAGACAAAGTTGCTGTTGAGAGGATGTAATTAAATAAATAGTATTTATGTTTATGCCGAGGTTTATGCCATATATCTATTTTATTTTGATCATTCCATCTATTAAAATTAGATTTGGAGATCAATGTTGAAAAAACTGTAATTTTTTTTGATGTTAGGTCAATTGAATTGTTTCATCAGTTCATTCCTATCTACAACTCAGCGATTTTCAGAATTTTTTTCTTGAAATAATAACATTTGGAGGTCAATATTGAGAAAACTGTAAATTTTTGGATGTTATGTCAATTGGATTTCCTCATCAGTTCATTCCTATCTACAACATGCCAAAAATTCAACCATTTTCAGATACTTTTGTTTTCTCGAAAAAATAACATTTGGAGGTCAATATCAGAAAAACTGTCCATTTTTTGAGGTTAGTTCATTGGAATATCTGTTCAGTATATAAAAGTCGGCAACATACTGAAAATTCAGGGATTGAGAACCATTTTCCCTATAGTTTAGTGCAGAGTCCTTTGTAATCTAACTTCATTCTAATTAATCTTGGTAGGAGTTCCCTCTGGATTTTTACATTTCCCTGAGATTTTACAGTCTTCATTTAAAATTCATCTCAATGTACAATATTGTCCTTATGTAGTACTTACAGTCATCACAACACTTATTCAGATCAAATGAATTTTTCATCCACAGAAAACTACAGGTAAGAGCAGATGCTGATGGTGTAACCTTCTACAGTTGCCCCCTATGTACCTTCACGACAAAATACAAATATAGCATAAAAATTCACAAGAGAATGATGCATACTGATCCTAATGACATAATAATGTACTCTTGTGCAATGTGTACATTCAAAACAAAACACAAACGCTATTTGGAAACACACATGTTAGTTCACAAAGACCCAGAAGACTGTGAAATGCATGAATGTAAAATCTGCGAATTCAAAACCAAATTTAAGAGTTACCTGAAAACCCACAAACTAATACACAAGAGCCCTGAAGAAATCCCCATGCATAAGTGTGAGTACTGCTCATTCAGAACCAAGCGCAAAAAATACTTGGAGACCCATGTCTTGATTCATATGAATCCAGATGATATACCAATGCACCAGTGCGCCATTTGTGATTTTCAAACCAAGTCAAAATCTTATTTAAAGACTCACATCTTGACTCACAAAAAACCTGAAGAACTTACTATGTACAAATGTGATGAATGCAGTTTCCAAACAAAGTTCAAATATTACCTCACCCGGCACATGTTGATTCACAAAAATCCTGATGAAGTTATCATGTACCAATGTGAACAATGCGAGTTTAGGACACGACACAAAAAATATCTAGAAACGCACAAAATGATTCACAAAAATCCCGACGAGCTAGTCATGTACTCCTGCAATCAATGTGAATTCCAGACTAAATCCAAGGCATATTTGTTCAAGACACACATGCAAGTGCACAAAAACCCCGAGGATCTAGTACTACACAAATGTGAGCTATGCTCTTTCAAAACCAGGCATAAGAGTTATCTAGAGACTCATATGCTAACCCATAAAAGCCCAGACGAGGTAACAATGTATGAATGTACGGAATGCGACTTCCGTACAAAATTCAAGCACTATCTAAAACGCCACATGCTAGTCCACATGGCGCCAGAGGACTGTGTGATGTACAAATGCTGGGCATGTTCCTTTGAAACCAAACACAAAAACTATCTTGAAACTCACATGCTGTATGTGCACAAGTCAGAGGACGAGGTACAAATGCACTCTTGTTCACAATGTGATTTCAAAACAAAGGCCAAGTCATATCTGAAAACGCATATGTTGTTGCATAGGGCTCCTGGTGAGGTAACCATGTACAAGTGTAAAAAATGTCGATTCAAGACCAGGCATAAAAGTTACTTGAAAACGCACATGACTCATATGCATAATAAGACTAATTGGGTGTAGAGATGAGTTGTACAATAGGTTGCTCACCTGTATTCATTCCATACATTCAAACCTTCCAGTTTTTGAACTATTGGAATACTGGATTTGTTTATTTTCATCACTGTTCAGTTGAAAGAAAAAAAAATAGTCATGACTCAACTTGTAAATAGAAAATTTATCAAACTGGAAACATAATATATGTTTTGACATGATCTAATAAGTCAACGTCTAGGGTACTTAACAATAAAGTAATAAATAATGATAATTTTATTAGTCTCGTCACATTAAAAAGTAATAATTAATGAGAAATTAGATAATTTCATCCAAGGCAACTAAAAGTTCCCTAAGCTCAGATCCCTTTTCCACTTCTGTACAGAATTAAGTGCCGCCGCATATATTCTTGGAAGAGCTCAAGATTACAATTAGTAATTAAGGTAAATCAGCTCAATATGCATTGCTAAATGAAAATGTTCAAACTCTTATTTCAAAATTGCTGATTTGACACTGCTGAATGCTGACCTATTCTGCCTATTACAAATGGTGAATAAACTCCAACAATTTTACAATATGAGATGAGATTCACCATTGCCAACCGTTAGCATGAGCAGAGATTGAGATGCTTATTTTAGTTATTTGACGGTGCGATGACATGAAAACTACGGAAAAAACATCCTAACTCCTGGCTTACATTGAAAGTTAGACATGTTATGCGCAATATCAGATGATGACCTTGCCTAGAGTCACTGATGGATGGTATTAGTTAGATGAACCTTGGCTACCGCAAATTGATGGAAACACAAACTCAATTTTATTTAAAAAAAAATCTTGCCATATTATGTAACTTTTGTATATATCATTCCAATGAAGCCATTGTATAGTTGATTCAATTTTTTTTGTGATATTTAAGTTTTTATTTCAATTCTGTTTTTTTCCCTTAATGCTTATTATTTCTTCATATTTTATTTGTTGTTTTAACGTTTATTCTAAAATTTGTTTTGTTTCTATATTTTATATGTTTTATTTTATTTATACTTGTAATACATGTGCTATAAGTTATATGTTACTTATACAGGGTGGTCCAACGAATCCCGATTTTAGGTCTTTAAAATGAACATTCGGAAAAACGCTCGGACCCATCGATTTCTGATCCTTGCTTTCTTCAACCCCCCACAAGGAAGAAGCACAATTTTTTTTAAAATTATTTTCAAGATTTACTTTTCTTTGATGCGAAGAAATATTTTGTCAAGTTCATATGTAAAATTGAAAAAAATAGAGCATCTGTTAGCTGGATCTTTTATTTTTATTTACTATTCGTCATTTGGGACTGATAAGGGGATAAGGGGGGCTCCTTATGTATATTTTGCGTTGGGGCCAAAAAATTCGCCTCTGAACTCGTTGAAACCTTCAAAATGAGGTATCACAAGCACAACACCCCTCATTCCTATTTAAAATCCGAGGGTTGTGCTTCCCCCTGGTAGGGGGTTGAAGTTATGGGGATGAAGAAAGCAGGCGAATGGATCTCCCTCGAATCAGAAAATCCGAGCGTTTTGCTGAATTTCCATTTTGAAGCCCTGAAATAAATTTTCGTTGGACCACGCTGTATGTAGTTCCTGTTGTTGAAGTTTTACCTTTTATCAACTCAAGTTTTGATGATTATTTGTTAGTCCAATCTTCAATGAGAGTGAATAATGAAAAAATAGGTGAGTATGTTAGTTCAAAATATTAAACCGCGGGACTAAATAGGTGACCAATTTTTAAAACCACTAGTGGATTTTGTTGTACCCCAAGGAAATATGAGTCAATTTAGTCCGGTGGTAAATTTAAACTATTTATTTTACTGATAGGCAACTCAGATTATTAGTCTATATCTTGAACCAATGAAGATCTATATTATAAATGTTGGAAATAATAATAGTCTCTTAGCCAGTTGCCCCCATCCCTTGCAAATCCAGCTCTGAGCTTAACTGACTGAACTATGTGCCATTTAACATATTTTCCATATAGTTGTGAAATTATTGTTTAACACAAAATGGGTATGATTTAGTGATAAATAGAGGTTATTCAAATCTTAGACTTAGCTCAAATAAATATATACATTATTGTACTGTTGTAGCATTTTTTGATTTGTTTTCTGTTCACAATATGTAACGTCTGTTTATATCGGGTGACCACTAATCCAGGTTCACCCCTATATTTCATTTTGTATCACAAATAATAAGGAATTAGGTAGATTTAATAAATCTATTTTGCCAAAAATCACATACCAATATACTTAGGTGTGTACCTGGTGTTCCAAAATGTTATATACTGGGTGTTTCTCCTGATTCATTTGAAATATTTACTTTTCATCCATATAAATATGTGGGTGTACCTTGATCTGTGTCACCTAATTAATACATTTTTGTTATATGTGTATGTGTGTATTTATATGTGATGTAATATACCTATAATATCCACCTATTTTATTTTTTATTTCATCAAACTTAATCTTTCCTAGGGATATCATTTTTTAGAATTGAAAAGGGCTTTCTTCAATTCTCACTGTCCTTATATTATTTAATAATTTATATACATATAATAAAAACAAAAATAAAGCTGAAATAAGATAAAATCTACATATTATAGGGTTAACATGTTTCCTTTCCTGATGTCATTTCACAACGACACAGATATTATAACAGATCCACTCTGTTGTTATTTGACATCTTAAAAAATTGGCAATCAACAGTCTTCACTATAATCAACAGTGAATGGTGATATCAGTGTGGATTTGTTTTTGATATACCTATGTCATCCTGAAAAGATAGAGTGTTAACCCTAAATAACCATAACAAATCAATTATATAATATTGGAAAAAAGATCAAAATATAGTATTGCTACCTAAAACTTCTGACTTACAAGTGTAAGATCTATGCTATTCATATGTCCAAAAAGCAAAGTTTTAGAGTACAAAATCAATTAAAAGTAGTGAAAAGTAAATAACTTAGAATGCTGAATGAAAAATAAAGTATAGAAACAATAATTATAGCATGGGATTTATAAATTATGTATATCTTTGTAGATAAGGGAATTTTAGTTTTTTTTTTTTTCAAATTTCACTCTGATCTAAATCCTTTGTATAAATAAATATTGCCAAAATAAATTAAATATCATCAGAAATAGAATATGAGAAATACAAATCATAAAGTTACAAATAAATGAGGTGGACGGACTAAGGACTTTTGGATTGTACCCTTAATTATATCAAGGAATCAAACATAATTTTGGTCAAGGCATAATGATCTCAGCACTTCTTTCAATTGTTGATAATTAAATTTATACTAAAATTACCATATATTGTATCAGGGATTATATTCCAAAACATTAAAATTTCAACAAATTTGCATATTATAAATTATTTTGAAATAGGCTATAACAGTTTTTGAATTTAAAAAACACCAAAACTCACTAATGTGAACAAATCCGAGAAATTATAATTTTTTTCTTAAAGTTGTACTTGATGTGAATGATCAATCACTCAGTATACAAGCAAATCCAACTATTTAATGGAAATTGTAAATAAAATTTGTATTTTATCTTCAGATCATGGCCAGTTGAATTTAGACTGTTTGTTCAGCACAAAATATAATAATATCAACTATGAAATACATAAATACTGGCTGATTTTAATGGTACCAAAAAACCTCGCAAAAAAACAATGGAACAAAGACCAAGTGATGACAATATATGAGTGATTTTTTGCCAAACAAATCAAGTCTATAATATTTGTATATATCAAACTAGGAATGTGAAATATAGGACTAAAAATATATATTCTCCCTTCTCATAAATGATGGTGCTTTGAATTTCAGCACTTCAGGATTCAGGAGATGATCAAAAATAAACTACATGATATTATATTTTTTTGGCTTATTGCTTAAGGCAGAGATAATAGAGCCTTCCAATCTTACAGGGGAGAGTGATACAGATTCAACAGTGTTTGCAAGTTCTACAATATGATTCTATGAATCCAAATCTCTGAATTTGTTGAATATGGGTCATTGGATTAATTTTACCCTAGCCCAAACCCAAACTTGAGTGGAAACTGGAAAATACAGTTTCCAAATAAACATTTTGAATGCTCTGATTGATAATTCAATGAACTCTAGTAGGACTGTTTCTGAGTAAATATAAAATATGTGTTCAGTAATTCATCAGATTCTGAAATTTCAAACTCAATGTACTGCTCTCTCTGAGAAGGCTAGGTAAGTTTTCAGAAGCAATAATAATAAAAATGTAGATACTCTTATAGGCTCCACATTGTATAGAACAAAATATCCATTTTACTTACTACATTGCCACACAATGATAAGAATGATTATAATCAAAATAACAGCACCTATGATGGCAAAAATCAACTTCTTCCTCCTCACTTTGTTCTTGTAGACACTAGCTTCACGTAGCTGATGGGCCCCTCTACCTACAAAATCACTGGTACTCTCAACATTAGCCTCAATACTGTCAATGGTTTCACCCTGTTCATGGACCAGAGCACCTAGTTCTTTGAATATTTGATTTACATCATTGATATCACTCTGGAAATGAGAAAAATATTGTTGGTATTGCCACCAATCAGGGTTGCCATGAGGAATACAATAAAATGTACTGAATTGCCACATGAAATTGTAATATATGACAGTAAATAGTAATAGATTGAAAAATGAGGAAATGGAAAAAATATATATTTATGCACATAGGCTTAGAACAACTCATAACCAATATTTTCAGTAGCAAAGTGGTTAAGAGCATAGGCATTATGGACCTGTCATTATATCTTATTCAGTCAACGCATGCGCCAAATAATAACTAGCCGCGCTGGAAAAAGAATAAACAGCTGATTAAAGGTTATTGCATGAACACCCATATATTTTTAATTTAAAATTCGTTTAAATCTTAAATTCATTACAATTTAGTTGATGTTGCATGAATCCACCTTTACTTATGCTTGTGAATACCATATGTAAGATGCCTAGAGACTGGTGTAACGAGTCCCCTATTCCATATTATTCCCAAAACCTGTACGACGAAATCGGCAAACAGCCACCTTGATGGCAAGCGGGAAGAACATTTCTGAAACCGCCACGAGTAGCGCTGCTCCTCATGTCTAGCAGGCACAAAATGCAGAGTTGCCGGTTGGCAAAAAAATTACCTAAATCCAAGATTTATTCTCCATAATTTTCACATTACTAGAAAATCTGCTATATACAAAGAGAAGAAATTGTCAATGACAGATGATGGAAAAATGGATTTATAACTTTGACTTGTTTTTTATTATATTACATCCAGGCGTGATGGAGTATTTTGAAGTATCATAATTTTCGCAATGTCAGTCATTTCTATCTGATGGAATAAGATGTTATACGAAAATCACGATACATATAGGCCGCTATATGCCATATTCCAGAACCCGAAAGTCTCGAGTGAATTGCTCGCATGAAATCGCTTCTTGGTCAATTATTATAGGAACCTCTAAACTGTCGTTCATGAAAAAGGGCGTTGTCATTCTTCTTCGTGTTGAAAATCATATGAGTAAGAGTAAGTAGTCAGACACATGATCGGTCCTGAATGCGCATGTTCCATGTTTACCAGTTAAATTTCGTGAGAGGCATAGCTTATAGTGGCGTTTTATTTGTACCATTCTGTTAGCGGTGGTGGGAACAGAATGACGTTTACAAATAAAAAGAGTAACTTCATGCCATCCTTTTCATGACCTTGCATGAGAGAATTGACATATAATGATAAGAATAGAAGATAAAGGATTTATTTATATATTTGGGCTCAAAATAATTTCAAAATCCTAATACTAGAGTTGAGAATCTAGAAAATGAATCGACGAATATTTGAAGCAGTGATTGTGATAATGGGAGAAACTTCTCTGAGATCGAGAGAATTCATTTAATCTGGGAATAAACATATGGAACCGGACTTACTTTAAAGAATCGTGAACTTGTATGAACCTTACGATAAGAATGTCTTCTAAAAGTCTTCTACCTTCAGAATGTTTCGTTTTTCGTCAATTCAATACGATATTTTGACAAATGTCAACAGTCATTCCGCATCATTCGTTGTAGTGAAACGAAATGAAAAGTAGTAAACGGAATCGGAAAAGTTGCAAATGAAACGACACATTGAAGTGATTTCGGTGGCGGAATCGGACAAATGGAATTATATCTTATGGTCCTACTAGTGGTCTAGATATTAATAGTTTATGTCAGTGTAATTAATGATTGGCACTTCTGTGAAAATGGTAGGCACCTTCAACAATAACGGCCCTGTATCCTGATGCTTGATGACATAAAACAATAGAAAATGTATGGATGAAACAGGCAAGTAATCATAATAACAAGATTCCAACCATTTTAGTAAAGAACAGAATTTGATAGTAATCTTCTTAATAATGATTGTCTCGTCCCACAGAACTTAGCCTAGTTCTGTCAAAATGCTCATGCTTCTGATAATTTCGGATTCAGACTGTTTATTTTTTGCAAACCAAATGAATTCTATGATTTTGCACCAGTCGATTGAAGAATATTCATGCTCTTGCGTTCATAATATTGATGAAATAGTAACAAGACTGTAAATGCTGTGTCTCACGGTCCAACAAATTGATCGAACTACAGATCTGTGATGTCATCAGTGACGTCAAGTCAAACAGCAGCGGAAATTAAGAATTTGTATCCTGCTTGATGACATAAAACAATAGAAAATGTATGGATGAAACAGGCAAGTAATCATAATAACAAGATTCCAACCATTTTAGTAAAGAACAGAATTTGAGAGTAATCTTCTTAATAATGATTGTCTCGTCCCACAGAACTTAGCCTAGTTCTGTCAAAATGCTCATGCTTCTGATAATTTCGGATTCAGACTGTTTATTTTTTGCAAACCAAATGAATTCTATGATTTTGCACCAGTCGATTGAAGCATATTCATGCTCTTGCGTTCATAATATTGATGAAATAGTAACAAGACTGTAAATGCTGTGTCTCACGGTCCAACAAATTGATCGAACTACAGATCTGTGATGTCATCAGTGACGTCAAGTCAAACAGCAGCGGAAATTAAGAATTTGTATCCTGCTTGATGACATAAAACAATAGAAAATGTATGGATGAAACAGGCAAGTAATCATAATAACAAGATTCCAACCATTTTAGTAAAGAACAGAATTTGAGAGTAATCTTCTTAATAATGATTGTCTCGTCCCACAGAACTTAGCCTAGTTCTGTCAAAATGCTCATGCTTCTGATAATTTCGGATTCAGACTGTTTATTTTTTGCAAACCAAATGAATTCTATGATTTTGCACCAGTCGATTGAAGCATATTCATGCTCTTGCGTTCATAATATTGATGAAATAGTAACAAGACTGTAAATGCTGTGTCTCACGGTCCAACAAATTGATCGAACTACAGATCTGTGATGTCATCAGTGACGTCAAGTCAAACAGCAGCGGAAATTAAGAATTTGTATCCTGCTTGATGACATAAAACAATAGAAAATGTATGGATGAAACAGGCAAGTAATCATAATAACAAGATTCCAACCATTTTAGTAAAGAACAGAATTTGAGAGTAATCTTCTTAATAATGATTGTCTCGTCCCACAGAACTTAGCCTAGTTCTGTCAAAATGCTCATGCTTCTGATAATTTCGGATTCAGACTGTTTATTTTTTGCAAACCAAATGAATTCTATGATTTTGCACCAGTCGATTGAAGCATATTCATGCTCTTGCGTTCATAATATTGATGAAATAGTAACAAGACTGTAAATGCTGTGTCTCACGGTCCAACAAATTGATCAAACTACAGATCTGTGATGTCATCAGTGACGTCAAGTCAAACAGCAGCGGAAATTAAGAATTTGTTCTAAATATTTGTCATGTTGGATCGAACAATAAGGTTAGGATGTTTGTTTTCATGGTTCCTTCATTGATAATTATTTTATATCTTAGGAATCAACAAGAAATATACTATCATTAATATTATCAATACTTCTAAAATGCATGTTCTGGTAATTGGACTGAGGACCACTTCGGATAATTATAAGAATATTCTCGTCTTGCTTCAATCCCTTGGTTGATTAGATACTTTGTTATGATCTCAGCACATTTCTGGAGGTATACGTACACGCGCATATATATGGATTGATAAAAATCTGAAACATCTCCCATCAATCTTTAGGTAGTCTTGAAATTAACTATGGAATATCTTCCAGTCTGACTTCATGAAAAACCAGGACTCCTCTTCGAATATTTCTTCTTTGAAGCAATTATATCTTATTGTATATATATATCTCCCTCTTTTTTTAATCACTTCGCATTACAAATACAACACAAAATACTTACCATATAATGAGTTTTTGTTTAATTTTTCCTCGTGATTTTTCCCATTTCAGAGAACCGTCAATTTCCATCAAGGGACCCTAAGAGAACCTACTTAACCAATATTTTTGTTCAAAAATCTACAGATCGTGTGACAACGATTTCTTGACATTTCGAACGATTTGAGTCAAACAGGCAAGAATTACGTCACCTTGAACAAATTTGATCAAATTGTTGGATCGTGATTGAGACACGACCTTTACAAACAAAATTGGGTCACGATTTTTCCTCTGCATGAAATTACCATAAAACTACAACTGGCAACGCTGGTTTGGTAAAGTTTAGGAAACGACGGAAACGATGACATTCCAAAATGGTGGTTTCGGTCTTTTCGGGTTTTGTTTATAGTTTGTTCTCTCGAATATCTAGTTACAGATAATTTGGTCCTATTTTAACTTGAATGAATTAATATAAGAACTTTAAAGTGTTCATGAGTGTTTTTCGTTTGTGAAGTGAATTTTGCGACTACAAAATGGATTCATTATACAACTGAACACCACTCACATGCCAGGACTGCCAGGCCAGGAGGAAACAGTTTCAAATGTAGAATGTAGTTCACGTAAGTATTGAATCATTAATTGTTTATTCTTTCCTTTCACATATTTCACAAATGGTATTTTTATAGTGGAACTAAGTGAATATATGAATGGGAGGATGGGTCAAGTATGGGTATTATTATCAAAGAGGAGTCACCTATATTCTTTGTTATTATACTCACCTAGTCTCAAAAATATGTTCATACCTCAGATGTCCATACCATGACTGATTGAAAAGTGATGCAAGATGCAATGATTATCTGGCATTGAATTAATTGCTTGCACAGTTTACACATAAATACCTACAATGTGAAAATTCAAAACCTAATATATCTGTGGCACATTATTCTGTAATCTGTATTTGGAATAGGCCTGTAATAATTATTTCATCAAATTAGAATGTTGGATATTCAATAATATTTTTTGTCTAGTACTTATCTTGTTTCTTCTACTCATTTTTGTCCTGATCTGTGCTCTTTGAAATCATCTTGTGGATTCCAAGCATGTAGAAAACTTGAATAGATTTTCTCATAAATTATTTTATTGGATGAAATATTGCATACCTTTATTTTCAGGTTACTTTGGAGACATTCAATGAGGAGGAGAAAGTTGAAACACCTCTACTCACATTGATCACTGCAATTGGGAGCCCTAAGTATTCAAGTGATATTATGCACTCAAAGATTACCATAGCCTAGATTTACCCTTCAAAAATCTCCTTCATGAAAAAATATCTTGGAACCTATGCCCCTTGGCCTGCATAATGCTGAAACACTAGCTGAAACATGTCTACCAGAGCAGGGTCTCACAGAGTATTTTCCTGTTTTTTGGCATGATACTGCCATGATCAACACAACCAATGAACTCCAGACTATTTTAGGGTAGGTATGTATGTAACTTTTTATATTTTTAGCTAATAATTTCCTTGCATGTCTGGATTCAAAAGTTTTTGATTTTCTCTGTAGGACAGTTTCTCTTGTTTTGCCATCATGAAATTTTGTAAACCGTGTTTTTTTTTGTGACAAATCTTGATTTATACAAAAATATTTTAAACTCATTAAAATCAAGGAAACTTCTTTGATTTTTCCTTGACCCTACTACAGTGTAGTCTCAATTACCACAAAAATTAACTCAACTCATGAATATACATGATATAGTGCCTTTTAGGAGACCTACAAAGTTTCTCCTTTATATTTATGACAAGGTAATAGAAAATTAGATTATTTATCCATTATTTATCCTTGGATTTGTTCTCCAAAAATACCTAGTATCTGTAAGATATAACAATCTAGAGAGGCTAGGGACAAAAATTAAAAATATCTAGGTTATCTGATCATTTTTGCTCCTCTGGTACCATGGTGATGAACATCTGAATGAGTTGTTAATATTGTAGATTTTTTGTGAATTTCATTGACCCTGTGAAGAGTGACAGGAGAGTGAAGATTTTGAGTTTATTTAAAAGATGTCTGCAAGATTCTCTATGATTTGCATTAAATTCTGTTACTCAAGCATTTTTGATTGGTGATTACACTCAACCATTTTTTTTTGTCAAAGTAAACTTGACATTTTTTATACTTTTTGTTTGGTTTCCTTCAGAAAATCCAACTCATAAAACTGATAGAAAACTCCTAATCTCCCTGAAAACATTTTTTTTTCTTTAATTTTCAGGAAATAAAATTCTCATCTAAATGTCAAGTTTAGTTTGACAAAAAAGCTCTCTATAAGTGAAAATAAAGAGGATTTAGCATCCAAAAATACCCAGTCTGAAAGAGTTTATCAAAAACCATGAGTGAAGGGAGCAAGGAAAAGAAGTTGAAAACTTGATGTTGTTTGATGGTGTAAATAGACAAAGTTATCCAGATCATGTGTCCACCATTGGTAACTGTCATTATTGAAGATACAAAATCAATCAAATTTTGCAAACTGGCAGTATTTTTAACATACTCCAAGATCAAAGAACAAAAAAAGCAATAATTGAGCACCTCTGTTTTTTTTTAGTTTGAATGGAAGATACAATTTTTCACATGGAACCTCAGTCCCCCTTTTTTTTTTTGTTATCATTCAAGTTTTAGAAAAAAATTATGACACAATTGTTTTCAAGAAAAAAGTACTGATAATAATGGTGATTGTGGTAGTAATTTTGCACTCATTAAGAGGAAAACAGATTATACCATTATCTAACATATATTTTTCTGTTGTAGAATTGTGCATTAATGTTTAGCTGAAGATGACTAGCAACAAGGGCCCATGGGGACCCACTTTTGTCTGACAGGATGAGCCTCCCCACAATATTACTACTAGCTGAAGATGAGCCCATATAGGTCAAAACATGAACTATATCCAATTGATGAGTTTTGTGGAGACAACTTTGTGTTTTCCTCCTTTGTTGAATTGGTCACTCCACTGAGATACCAATTACTTATGGACTTTACTGTGAAATAGATATATATTAATATTTATATTCAATTAGTAACTCCTGTAATTCTACCAAATTTCTTGTTTATAAAACTTTATGTTTTGTGTGAACAATAAATGAATAATAATAATAATAATAAGTGAAATAGATATCCTATTTTTGTTCTGCTATTTTCATATCTTCAAGGTTTCAGTTTGGTATTTGTACTCCTTGATATTCCAACAATGAATTTGAGATGATTTAAATTTTTTTCATTAAAATGAGTGACAACATTGTTTATTTTTTTACTTCTTGCCACACACCACACACATCTACATACAGTAGGTAACATAAATTTCTACTTGTCTCCAAGTAGTTCAACTAAATGAACTTTTGATTTGCCTGATAACACCTTGAATTCTATCCGAACAACAAAACACTGATAAAACTGATACCTACTTGAAAAACATTGAACCACACTTTGGCACAATTAAAATAATCATATATTTTTTCAACTGTGCTTTGGGATGGAAATAATGTAAAAGTTAAAATGAAATAATAAAAATAGTGACTTCACATTTCATTCGAAGATCCATTGAGCACTCAGCACTGAGCAGTGCTCTGAGTCCACAGACCTCCACTATGTCTGTGTCTGACTCTGAGCTGACCTGGCTTATCAGCTGACGCTGAGGAATTTCACGATCACAAATCGTGGGTAATTCACGGCAAAATTCACGGAACTAAAACACTGTGTTTAAGTTCTGTGGGGGTAATTTCGTGTTTTCAACGGAATGGCAGAATTCAGAATTTTTATTTATTGATTACGATCGTGGCGCCATCTCTTAATGAAAGGGGAGAAGTGTTATTCTCGTTCTGAATCGTTGTACACTTTTGTTACAAAAACAGTTGAAGAGTTGCTCCACCAGTCAACTTATAAACATCTCAACCATATGGAACACCAAGAGACATGACTCGATATGTCATGAACAACAGTTTGGGAATTCCTGTGCATTGAGCAGAAACGTTACCAGGCAAGGAATTTAAACAACATTTTCGGTTTGCTGGGATATGACTCATAGTGGTATAGTAATTATGTCAGTTGTGGTTGTGACGTCAGAAGCCCAAGTTGGCAGTCATCTTGATCGCTACCTCATTGGCGGTAGTCAAGGTCATCATCTGACATTATGATGACATGAAAACTATGGGAAAACATTCCTAACTCCTGGCTTAAATCATAAGTTAGACATGTTTTCCCGTAGTTTTAATGTCATCACATCATAAGACGTCAGATGATGACCTTGGCTACCGCGAATTCAATGTGATCTTATCTTATGCTGTTCTTCTTTTTAGTGAGTTGGAATCGAATGGTAATAGATTCACTATAAATTTCAAATAGTAGTAATGATGTAATGAAGAGTGCTAGAATGTAATAGATCTATTACTATTGTAATAGCAATGGAAACCCTGCCACCAATCAGTGTTTATTATTAAAAAAAATATGTTCTAACCTCCAATTGTCTGATACCCTGCTCTTGTTCTTCCAATTCTCTCAAATCTGCTTCTTCTTGTATCTGTGCTTGCTGCCTACCCTGACTATCTTGCAACTCAATCAATTGTTCATCTTTGGTTTTGTACCCACCTAAAAATATGTATACCTGAATCAAATTATACTGTTCAATGATGACTGTACTCATGACTGAATAGGTCTGCACCTTGAAAGTAGTCACTTACTAAGATGTGGTTCTCCATAAGCATGAGCCTTGGCCTTATTGACTTGCTCCTTTTCCTTGTGAGCAGTACTCCTCTGGACTTGCTGGAACATATTCAATGTACTTGTGAATTCATCTTGAAGACGTTCTCTCTGCATTTTCCTCTGTCTCTGCTCAGATTGAGATAAAGATGGTGGTATTGTGCCAAGTTCTTTGATACAACCATTTGTATCTTTCACAAGTTGCTGAGTATAATGCTGAATAGAATGACTGAAATGAAACATCGCAGACATAATAATATAATGTTTTTAGCTGCTAAAACCCTATGACTTACAGTTGTTTTCTCAATTCGGGGGAATCTTGATGTGTACCAATTTGGTTCACCATCCTTTGCATTGATGACACTAGTAAATAGGATAAGGTAGGTAAGAAAAGTTATCATGACAAAAAATAAACTGTCTTACCATTCTGTGAGATTTTTTGGATACTAGTACCAATGGTCTGAGCCAGTTTTTGAAAATCTGGTTCTTTGGCCTGCCCATTTTGATAAGAGGAGTAACTACTATCCATGTTCAGTATAGTATCAAACCTTTTCTAAAAAACTACACTGTTGCTGATAAAAATCAGAAATAATCTTTCACCTCTCCTTGGTGTTCTAATGAGCAAACAATACCAATTAATGAAATATTAATTCGCCACTTAATGCAAAAAATATATTTCTGTTGTACTCTAGGTCGTACAGAAAAGATTACGGTAAGTAAATTGCAAATTAAGCTTTTGTTAGTTTTGTTTTTTGTTATTCATTCACATTCACAACATCACAACTTGTCAATAAACATATGACGTGACCCGTCCTCTCTTCTCTTCTCACTTCTCTTTCTGAACATAGGACATTCATAGGACAAGGACATACATCCAATATTATTACTTTTCTGGTACGTTCTAGTCACACCAGTCACACCCCATACCGCACTCTCTTTGTAAAACATGGAAATAAGTAAAGAATAGATTATGGGAGTATGGCTGTTGTGTTGTGTGAAACGTAAAAGATCAAGAAAAGAAGAAGATGAAGAATTCTGACAATTCTGAATTCTGACATTGAAGGATAAGATAAAAATCATACAAAATGTGGTTTATTTATGCGGTGGAAAAGATGAATATTTTTTAGGTGTGGCTGATTGCAAATTTTTAAATTTCCTGTAGCATCAAAATGGATGGGAAATTACCAGCTTGTGTTATTGATGTAGGAACTGGGTGAGGAGTACATACCTAACATAATTCTGTTATCCACCTCTATATTCATTTTTCTGTATAGATACACAAAATTAGGATTTGCGGCGAATAAGGAACCTCAGTTCATCATCCCTTCAGCCATTGCTATCAAAGAAACTGCGAAAGTAGGTGACACAACTTCTAGAAGATTGAATAAAGGTGTGGAAGATTTAGATTTTTTCATAGGGGATGAAGCATTTGATGCTACTGGATATGCAATAAAAGTTAGTATGATATAGATAGGTGTTTCCTTAATCAGGTATTTGTTCCAGTACTAGGATTGTTAGTTTTTTATGACTAATTTCAGTATCCAGTAAGACATGGCCTTGTTGAAGACTGGGACCTGATGGAAAAATTCCTTGAACAATGCATTTTCAAATACCTACATGCTGAGCCAGAAGATCACTATTTTCTTTTAACAGAACCTCCATTGAACACCCCTGAAAATAGAGAGTATATAGCAGAGATAATGTTTGAATCCTTCAATGTCCCAGGGCTGTATATAGCAGTGCAAGCAGTGCTAGCTTTAGCTGCAAGTTGGGCTAGTAGGAGTATAGAGGAAAGAACACTAACAGGGATTGTCATAGATAGTGGAGATGGTGTTACTCATGTTATTCCAGTAGTGAGTATTTCCATAGTGTGTTCTATATTCAAGTTATCAGTTGATACATTGAATTGGGGAAATGTGAAATTATGGCATTAATTTAGTAGGTATCTATTCAACTACTGCCAGTCAAATGGAAAAGGTTGACTTCATTGAAATCTATATTAGCTCAACAACTCTAAATATGGTAAAACATTATTTATTCCAAAAAGTATACTTTAATCATTTCCCAGGATATGCAGATCATTCAAATTGATGATTAATGAATTAACTATTGAATGAGAATAGGTCTTTACCAAACTTTCAGTGAAATCTAAGTTGAGTCAGTCTATCTAGACATTTTTTGTGATGTACCTACATCTGTATTCTGAAACTTGACTGGGTAACTGGAATTCACCTATTGAAAATAAAAAAAATATTGTAAAATGAGTGTAATACATGAGATGGATGTTATAGTTCAGTGCAACTCTTCCATGTTTTTCACAGGCAGAAGGTTATGTCATTGGCAGTTGCATAAAGCACATTCCAATTGCTGGCAGAAACATAACCTATTTCATCCAGTCCCTCCTGAGAGAACGAGAAATCGGAATTCCACCTGAACAATCCCTAGAAACTGCCAAAGCAATTAAGGAAAAATATTGCTATATCTGCCCAGACATAGCCAAGGTAGGGCATCAATTTAATCATTCAGTTATTCATCAATTCTGATCTGGTTTATTTCATTTTGTGATCCTCATCATTTCATCAGTATAATAATTCATCAAAATTGTTCCTGTAAAGTCAAAATCTGGGTGGAAACAGAATGAATTTGTTGATGTCTCAAGACATTATATTTCTCAAATCTGTTGCATATTCTTGCTTCCAGATTTTTCTTGAGGATAATTTGAACTCTATAAAGCAATATTTCTTCACATTTGATCCTAATAAAACAATGTACTATTTTCGGAAATTCACTTGAGAAAACAGAATAAAAAAAAGTCAACCAAACACCATGTAAATTAAACAAATTGCAAGATAGTAATTCAAATTTTCTTGCTACCATTAAAGTTATTATCAACAGTAATTACACAAGTGGTGGTAATTTTTTGATAATTTTAACTAGATGCACGAATCTTTGTTGCTATAGAAATTTCACGAGTGGACGAAGTCCACGAGTGGGATTTCTCAATAGCAACAAAGACGAGTGCTAAATCTAGTTAAAATTATTTAAAAAAATAACCAACACGAATGTAATTCGGCGTGATTATTTTTTTTACTATTTCGCAAAATGCCCCAGAATATGTTTATTAAACAATTATTTATTGAACAATCATTTATCATACAATTATATATCAAACAATTATATATCAAACAATTATATATCAAACAATTATATATCAAATAATTATATATCAAACAATCAAGAATGTTTACAATTTACGTTTGTAATGGTGCAATTATTGTATGTTATTGTACAATTTCCTTGAGATGAAGAGGTCGAAACAGTGTTTCCTCTCAAGTTGTTTATCATGCTTGCGTGATGCTCTTTGTCAAGTTGAAGATAGGGTTTGATGGAGCTTGCAGATGAATGTCCAGTTATCTTCAACAACTGCTGCTCACTTACTCCACTTTTAGCGAGTTGTGTCACAGCAGAAGAACGATGTGAATGGTTTGTAACCTTGATTTTGCTAGGATCCAAGCCAATCTTTCGGGCCGCTTGTTTTGTCCATTTTGCTATTTCATTTTGTCCTACCGGAAGATTTTTGTACCACCCCTTAGACAAAGGTTGCTGCCAATTTGGATTAGGTGTTAAAAATAAACGATCAATTTGAATATTTGCACTTCTTTTCGACATTAACTTCCGAAAGAGACGTACTGGACATTTTTCAGTCTCATTTTCATTTGGCGTTAAAAATTTGCTATCAGATAACCTGTGCGATCCTCCTTGTGCTGTTTTAGAAATTATTGGATTATATTCTATCCTTCCAGTTTGATTTCCATAATGATCCATTTCTTCTCTAAAATACTGTACTAATGCTTTTGTCGCTTCTCCGCCTCTCCAAGCCAATTCGTAGCTAGCAGTATGATAAAACTTCCTTTGTAAGCCATTTGGAGTATTTTCGTCCCATGCTGCTATCATTTTTTCTATTTCTTCTTTCTTGAGAGCAACAGAAGATGCTTTTCTTTTTTCAGGAATATGTTGAAGTTCTCGACGTTTGCAATTCCGCGCATCTCGCGCGGTCTTAAATTCAATATCAGTGAACGGATCAATGTTTCTATTATACTCCCTGAAATATTTTTCCTGGATAAGTTTTGCGGTGACATTCCACAAAGTTTTGACAACAGATTCTTTGTAGTTTTCTCCATTTTTTTTTCGCATGTTATATGCCCAGTCCTCCATAATTGATGCGATTTGTTTCATCTCGGTTGTTGCAGTCAACTCATAATTACGTTCAAGGCAGAACTCCAAAAACTGTTTCCATATCGTATTCTTGCTTTTTGTGGTGTTGATTGGTGTTGCTTGTTCGACAGCTAAATGTATTGAATCAGCCGAGCTTTGACCAAATCTCGTGCTCATGTCGGTTTCTGTTAATGACTAATAATAATTGTAAAGTTTTTCCGAACCTATACCAACTCGTTTAAACGTTAGAGAAAATCACAAAATACGAAGTCTGACTGATACTTAACAATGGCGTCGGTTCTGAATTCGAAATGTTTACATTGAGACAAATAGCTGCGTTACCTTGACAACCAAGTCAAGTCAATGCTAATTCTCTAAAGGTGCCCTATAGACTGCGTTGTTGGTAGGCCGTTTTGTTCGTCGAACAAGTCTGTTCGAACAAAAAAGACACAAAACTAAAGTGTGTGGCCAGCGAAAACGAACATTTTACAGCCACACACTTCGGTTGTGCGCAATTTTTGTTCGAACAGACTTGTTAATCGAACAAAACAGCCTATCAACATCGCAGTCTATGGGTCCCTTTTTGTATCCATTTGAAGGAAGATCCAAACGTGAATAAGTCATCGCGGTAATTTGATACTAACAAATTATCAGTATGATTCCGAATGATTGGCTAGAATCACGCATTGATATTGGTTGAAACAAGGAAAACGTCACATTTTGACATGTAAAAAAAATAATCAATAACATATTACTGCTAGTTACATTTTGGATGTATAATATTTGAAATACTGATACAGGGTGAGTCAGGTATGTACGTACAGAATTATTCCTTTTATATTCAAATAGTTTTTACAATATCCAGACTCTAGAGGTATCAAATAAATCGACATTTTTCCTTGTTCATCATATAAGTAATGAATGGTTTAGTTTCTATTTTGGAATTAGATTTAGTACCTTTCAAATATATTCTTCATTTTGCATTGAAATGTAAAAAATATTAACTGAATAATGTAGTAGGTGACAGGTTATATAGCTTTTGTGGTAATTTTGCACTTATCATGTGATGGGTTTTTTTGGTACTTACGTATTTTTGTCTGAAAAACACGAATTTGATAATGAAAATGTGAACAAACCATTATTTATCAAGATATTTCACTATAAAGTTACAAATTTCACCTTCTTTTCCGCCTGTCTTTGGTTGGCATTTAGAACAATTTGCCCGTCTTTTTCCATCATTGGACAATTTATATATATCACACAATGTTACACACATTTTTTTAATTGTATGAGTCAATTAGAAATATGATTTTCTTGTGAATTTATCCATGTTTAGTGAAAAGAAGGAAGAATATCATTTGAAATAATGGCGTGTGTAATGTCATTCCAAAGCAATCTATTGAGATTTGACATCTGGTATTTGGATTGCCTATGGATCAAATGGCAAAAATAAAAAGAGCAAGTACCTGTAAATGCATCCAACACAAGGGGGAAAATAAGGCAAAATTTCGAACTTTTTCTTCAAATATCTCGATAAATAGTGGTTTGTTCACATTTTCATTATCAAATTCGTGTTTTTCATACAAAAATATGTATGTACCAAAAAGAAATTTCGAAAAAAAAAACCCATCGCATGATAAGTGCAAAATTACCGCTTTGGTATTTTTCAAGAGTTCGTTTTTTTATATTCATAGCTATTTTAATTGTTTCCCTGCATTTTTGTCGGCACAGCGAGCCAGGCGGCACGGCAATATTATCTTGCTTTGGTGCTATGTGCTATGGCCAGACGATAATCATTGGACATCCATCACATAAATATTGGCGTGTGGCATAATTTGTTTCTTCAGTCTTCATTCATTTTAAATGCAAGAATCTAGTGAAACTCAGGAAAAGACCAGATCCTATGGCATAGTCCTTTTCACACTCTACTTTTCACCACCAAGGAATTCGCAAAGTATGACAGCGATCCGGGCAAGTGGATGAAAAGGTACGACGGCTCGAATTCGGTGACTAAACAACCGTTCGCCGTCGACGTCGGCTACGAGCGCTTCCTCGGCCCGGAGATATTCTTCCACCCGGAGTTCTCCAACCCGGACTTCACCATTCCCCTCTCGCAGATCGTCGATGACGTCATCCAGAATTGCCCGATCGACGTGCGGCGACCGTTGTACGACAACATTGTGCTTTCGGGGGGCTCCACCATGTTCAAGGACTTCAGCAGACGGCTGCAGAGGGACATCAAAAGGACTGTGGACGCGAGGCTGAAGCTTAGCGAGACTTTGGGAGGGGGTCGGTTGAAGGTGATTATGATGACACTCATTTCGAAATACACACGTTTTGGATTAGTTGGAATATCTTCGAGTGTCCACGAATCTGTTAGACAAGCCATAACTTCTAGAATATTGGGTGTATCAAAATGAAATTTAATATGGTTATGGTTATATTCCGAATTCAATTGACAGTACTGAATCCGCTGATTTTTCATTCTGAAATGAATAAAAATTCACTGAAAGTGACAGATACTTGTGAGAGCAGACATAGTATTCATTCCAAATAATTCCACTCAACATTCTGCTGGAATTGCTGACTATCAATCAAAAGGTAGTGCGGCTTCAGTGAATAGAATAGAATAGAAATTTATTCATCATTGAAAATTCTACATCTGTATTACATACATTTATAAAATTTTATCAGACTAGTCAAGAACAGGAATAAAAATATTTGAACAGACACAAACATTTTAAAATAGAAGTTAAAGGATTAAAGTTTTATAATATTGAATACTCATTTAGATTGTAAAAATTCCTCAACAGAGTAGAATGCATTTTGGACTAGATGATTGTATAGAGCTGATTTAAAACTTCCTAAGCTACATGCGTTTCCAAATAGTTTGAGTGCATGGTTATAGCAAATGATACCTTGATAACTCGCAGAGTCCTGTCCCAGAGCCAAACGAGAATAAGGTAGTCTTAGTTCATTACCTCTTCTAGTATTGTAGATGTGGATCATATTATTTTTGGTATGGTGTGTTTCATTTTTTCTAATGTGCATTGTAATCGTATAAATGTAGAGGCTGGGTAAACTCAGTATGGCCAGTTGGATGAATGTACTCTTACATGATTCTTTGTAATGTAGACCAGCTAGACATCTTATTACTTTTTTTGAATTTTAAAAACTTTTATTGCATGTGCCGAGTTCCCCAGAAAGGCAATCCATATGATAAAATGGATTGTACAAGTCCATAGTAAATCAGCTTAAGTACATGTAGCGAGACTGTTTCTCGTAATTGTTTTATTACAAAGCACATACTGCTCACTTTCGTGACAAGGTTTTCTATATGTACTTCCCATGTTAATTTCTGATCTACAGTCAGGCCTAGATACTTGAACTGACTCACTTGCTCTATGGAGTTGTGATTAACTCTTATCAGGGGACAGTGATCATACGAAATGTTTTTTTGTTGGAAAACCATGAAGACCGTTTTACTATTATTGATTATCAAGCCATTATTTTCACACCATCTGGCGAATTCTTCTGCAGCTGAGTTTGCTGATTTTATAGAGAGCGACAGTTTATTCTCTGCCAATATTTTACTTGTATCATCTGCATAGATTATCGTTTTTTGCTGGACCATACTCGCGAGTTCCATGTCACTCATGAATATTATAAAGAGAAGTGGCGCAAGAGTTGACCCTTGAGGAACCCCAATTGACACAGGCGCAGGTTGTGATTTCACAGAATCAATAACTACGACCTGCGATCTGTTTTTTAGATATGATGCCACCCAATCGTTGGCAACTGAACTGTCATTATTTTAGAGGTGGAAGGAATATCACATTTATTATACAGTGTCATTCATAAAGTCGGCATCATATGGGAAACACTTTTATTAATGACTTATTTTGGAATTTGTGTTGGAAGTTTTGCTTCAAAAAAGATGAAAAATGGCCTACTCAATCGGGGTCACGTGACTTTCACTACATGTCAAAAGTGACATTTTTTCAAATTAATCGCTGAAAGTAGGCTTATTTGTTCGAATTTCGAAAAAGTATACTTGAAAAATTTGTTTCTATTTAAATTTTGCATATATGACTCGGATTTTATCTTTCTATTACATTTTTTAGATTTCGATATTTTTCTAAAAAAAGTGAATGATTGTTTTTTTCAGCCAAAACCAATTGATGTTCAAGTAGTGTCTCATCATATGCAGAGGTATGCAGTTTGGTTCGGAGGAAGTATGCTGGCGTCAACGGTATATTAATATTAATAGTTTTTTTTTTGTTTTTATCATCATTAATGTATACAATATTTTCAGCCTGAATTTTACACCGTCTGTCACACAAAGGAAGATTATGAAGAATATGGTCCTAGCATCTGCAGGCACAATCCAGTATTTGGAACAATGACGTAATTTATTTTTTTATATATTTTTTTTTTATCAATTATATTGAGAGAATTATGATTATAAACTAAAATATAATGTTTAAGCTTCAATTCATGAAGAAGTTTTCGAAATAATGTTGAAATACATTTCACTTCCAAGGTGAACACCAACAATATAAATGTTTGAATTTGAAATAAATGGAATACTTTTTTCCAATGTTTTAACTAAAATTTACAGCTGCAGATCCAAAATTCATCGCTCTATTGCCAAATGTTTCATCACCTTCACACTTCACATAACATCTATTTGTATATGACGACTTCAGGCATAGAGGGAAAATATATCTTGGAGCAGCAATTTTTTTCAATTGATGGCGGATAAGATTTGGTCCGATTCCATTCAAAATTGGTAAGTGGGGGTTTTTGAAGTCGGAGATCATGATTTTTTTGTTAAAATTTATAAATTCAAGATGGCGGCTCCCAAATAATTTTTTGTTTTTGTATAAATGACGATAACTCCGTTGTTATCAACACAAAACTATTACCTACTGCGACATATCATCTGTGTTATTTGTAACTAAGTCATAGTGGGCTATGACCTACATTTGAAAAACTAAAGTTGTTGCTGATATCTCAAATTCTAGAAGAGTTGGTATAAATTTCATTTTTTTTTCGAAATCACTTTGAAAAACTGCCATGAGAATGTGAAATTCCTATTTGAATATTTTCATAAATAAAGAAGTTACGGCGAGGAGACATGAAAATGATCAAAATCTGTTTTTTGCATATAAAATATTTTTTCACATTATAGTTGGCCTTGACAAACTCCACAACCTCGTATCTCTCACCGTTAAAAAGATACCCATGGTGAGCATGGTAAGTGGGACACACTGTATATGCCAAATAAATCTATTGGATATTGACCTTCAGTCTTAAAATCCAATTTGCGTTAACATCATCATTTTTTTACTTTCGTTGATGTTCTCTTATTATGTAAACCTCCAACAAAATGATGAGATTATTTGAGACACATAAAGGTTGAGCTCTACATACGTGGAGACAGACATAAAAACTAGAAATAACAGGAGACAAACAGCATATAAAAACCTCTGAATACTGTTACTTGGATAAATAGGTACCTACTCACAGATGAAAGAATTGTATTGGTATTCCACTAGAGTTCCAAATTAAGTTTATTTGGCTTGGCAGAATAAAATAAATCTCATCAATTTTTAATTCGGAATCAATCTAAACAGCATTCTGGTTTTTCAAAATATTCACTTTGCCAATGAAATTATGTGTATTATCTTGTCGAAGCAGTATCCAGAAAACTCTATTTATAATTAGGATTCCTCAGAAGTGTAAGATTTTTAATTAGTACCTACTGAATGAAAAGTATATCATAAAAACAAACACAATTGAAAGAAAATTAATTTAATACAGAACAAATATTAGTGATCAATTTTAAAAAACGTACAATCAATAGATTTTTGCAAAAATGTTCAAGATAAAACTGTTGAAATTGATAAATCTGTACCTAAACTTGATGAAGGTTTTGTGATGAGTGAATCCAAAAAACTGCAAAGGGTTGAAAAACCATTGATTGAATATATTATAATTTGTACTTGTACACATTGAAAACAATAAACAAACCAAATCAAAAATAAAATATACATAACTATGTACAAAGGAAACATGATCTCCTTCACTATAAGCAATAAATGTTTTTACCTAATCTTAAATCACAGAAAAACTGCCTTGCAGCATTATGGTGAATACCTCTTTGAGAACAGCATTATTTCAAATTGCACCTATTTCATACCATCAACACTTTGAAATTCATTGAAATCTCGCAGAGTATCCACCTTTAACTAATGAGTCGTAGTCCTTATCTGGTACTATTCGGATTCTAGATGTCTTCCTCACGGATGAATCTTCTATAATGTTTTCGGTGGCCTTCCTGTAAACTAAGTTTCAGTAAAAGTTATAATCATTTACAATGCCATATTTTTTTCACTCCCAAATTTTTCACGTTTTATCAAACTGCTCATAAACATGAAACGTGAATTAATTAAAAATAAAACTGGACATAATAACCAATGCATATTGATAGATAATCAAATATAATGTAGGATTGTTTCAAATTTAATATTCAAATGTAATTTCTTGTATGTTTCTTACCTCGTTTTTTCGCAACTTGTGTTGCATAAGGTGGTACCGGAATTGGATTTTCTAAAAAGAAAAATAGAAATGAGCCGAATGATTTGATTGATAGTTACGACTTGAAAATCAATTTTGACCTGTCCAATAATTTCAATCTTGCTAGTTGAATTTATTAAGCCTATAATTCCATCATACTATAATAAATACAGAATGACAATATATTACTGGTTGTGATGGTTTACTTTAGCATAGTTAGGTGAGCTAGATATTTCTATCAAGTTCATATTTTTCATCAAAATCTTCTCATTCAAATTACAAGGTATAGATTTTTTCACACAATCATCTCATAAAGAAGATTATAAATTTGACTTGCCCAACAATTTCAATCTTGCTAGTAAAATTTAAGAATTCAATTCAATTTTACAATAATTAAAAAATACAGAATGACAATGTACAGGGTGGTCCAACGAAAACTATACACCCCGATTTTAAGACTTGAACATGAAAATTCGAAAAAACGCTCTGATCCATCAATTTCTGTTGCGAGGAGGAACGATTTGTATGCTTTCATCATCCCCCATACTTCAAACCCCTACCAGGGAGAAGCATAACCCCCGGATTTTGAATAAGATGAAGATGTCCTAAACTTGACGAAAAAAGTCATAAACATTGTACTTCATTTTCATATACTTAGTCGTATCACCTATATGATTAACGTTTGGGGATCTCAAATTACGAGGGATAGATTTTTAAAAAACAAAAAGTCAGTATGAAACTCACCTTTCCTTTTCCGTTTGCCATTTTTTTTATCCGTATAGGGAAGGTCACCTTAAACATAAAAAGGACTATTACTAGTGGAACTTAAAAAACTTGGACAAATCATATTAACAAATAAATAAGGAATAAGTTATCAACAGAAAATAATCAATACTGATATAACAAACAGTTAAAATTACAAAAATAGAAAAATTACAAACATGTGATGTCTTCCACATAGTTACGATTCACAAAATAATTATAATCCATGTACACATAGAAAAATATTACTACTTGGTTATTATCTATAAGATAACACCATAGATTGAACAATATGATTTATTATTAAAAGTGTCATCCAGTCATGCTTTGTATTTCTTCTTTCTTCTCATTGTAGTATCTTCATTTCTTGTATCTTCTTTTTATATTTCAAACTCAAATATTTAAAAAAATAATGAACATAAATATTGTAAAAAAGTCACAGCCACAGAATTAGTAAAAAATCAAATACTTCAGAGTAAAAAATTATTGAAATTACTTTCGGATCAAATCGGCTGTACTTGATGAGAACTTATTATAAATAATCATCTACAGAGAAAATCACTCCCCCAGAGTCAAAAAATTCACCATCTTTCTTTTTTATGATGACAATAATCATGTTTTCTTGTTTTTTTTTTTCAATCTTGCCATAGGTAGTTATGTTCTGTATACAGGAGAATTCATAATAAATTGAACACAGAGCATTAGTAGAATATTGAATGAGAAGATTGGCCAACTGATCTTAGCAAAAAGTTAATGGTTAAAAAGTCATTTCAGTTAGCATATGGGGTCCTCTTGTGTAATGAGCCAATTACCTTAATTTTACCGATATCAGTGAAGCAGCTACTATAACTATAACTAATAAAATATTTCCACTCAACCAACCTGTAAATTATTAACCATCAACATTTTACCAATCTCATATTTGATTAATCATCATAATATTGCAAAGAAAATGCTTGCTTCACAATTCATCCTATAAAGTTGACAATATTTATTTCAGAATAATAAAGTGAAATGAAATTATTGTTGCCTGTAAGTAGTAGTTAACAATACAAGAAGATGTACGTATTTTGACTTTCTGTGGGGAGTTTTTTCCAGATATATTTATTGAAAAGAATCTCCACAAGATGCAATTCTCTTCTATTCTTTCTTCTTCCTCTTGCTTTTCTTCTCTCTTCTCGGACGTCCGATGATTTCTTCTGGTGCTTGATGCTGTTGTGTTTGTGGTTGCTGATTCATCAAATTAACGTCAAAAGTTGTCGTACTGTTAACTGGTAGCAAAATCTGCGGGAAATACGACAAACTACCGCAAGGAAAAAAAGGATAAGGTACGTTATTCATGTGATAGTTGATGGTGGGATTATTGTAAGTGTGATTGTTGTATTGTTCAGTGACAATTTTCGGTTGGGGCGGCATTTCTTTCTTCTCGGCAGGCGTCTTGAAAGTCCTCGGATGGGGTTCGAGTTTCTCTTGTATTTCCGCGATGCTGATGGCCGGTTTCGCAGGATAACTGATATCTTCACCGTCGTCCAATCTCTCTGCCCTGGCTCGCTTGATGATCTCTTCCACCAGATCCGGGCCGAGCAATTCATCTTCGGACTCGTTATATTTCGAGTTTGCCACGGAAAGTTTTCGTTTCTTCAAAGGAAGTCGCACTTTCGGCTCTTCTTCCAGCTTATCGTCCAGACATTCTCTGTTTTCAGTCTTGTCGATTTCCTCAGATTCTTGTTCGACGGCGACAGTCTTATAATCGACGACGGGGGATCCCAAGTCGGAGTATTTGAGAGATTCCATGGAATTCTCTTGGAAAATATTATCGGGAGGAACTTTGAAATTATCTACCGCCGCGCTACTTTCGCTCAAAGCACTACTGACTACTGTCTGACAACTACCGATATTGTCTTGGAAATTATTTTCCACATCGAAATTATCGCCGTCTTGAAACAAGGGTAGCTTCTCGAAAGGGTAACACTCGGATAGGAATGTGTGACTCGGCGAATTCGACTGAGGACTGAAACAATAATTGATAACCGGACTGGGAGAAAATTTCCTCAACGTCAAATTATTCAGATCTGACGGTATCGTATTCTTGGCGATCTCTTCCATCCTGAGGGTCTTTTCAAAGTCTTCTACTTCCGGCACGACGGCAGGTAGTCGAATGTTAGTAC